GGGGTGCCGGCGCCGCAGGCGGAAGATTAGCCAAGTGAGCCGCGGCACTGGCCTTCTTCATTATTTTTATTCTGATAAAATATATCTGATAGAATATACCATTTTAACCATTTTTATGGTCCAAATTCAGTAGCATTCAGTACATTCATGATGTTGTGCAACCAACACACCACTGTCCATTTTCAGAACTTTCTCATCATCTCAAACAGGAACTTTGCACCTGTTAAAGAATAATTCTCCATCTTCCCTCCTAGCTACTAGTTACTTCTTTCATCCTTTCTGTGAAATTTGCCTATTGTAGGTACTTCATATAAATGGAATATTAATATTTGGTCTTTTGTGCCTGGCTTATTTACTTAGCATAATGTTTTCAAGGTTATCCATATTGTTGCATGTCTCCAAATTTCTTTAAGGTTGAATAATAATTCATTTTATTTATATACCATATTTTATATATACATTCTTCTGGTAATGGACATTTGGTTTTGGTAATGCTGCTCTGAACATGGGTATATACATGTCAGAGGCACTGCTGATTTATAAAATAGTGTTATTTTAACTTTTGGGGAACTGCCAGACTTTTCCATAGTGTCTGTATTATTTTGTATTCCTAATAGCAAGAAAAAAAAATTTTTGTGCCAAAATAAGCTCGTGCTAAACTTGTTATAACATGTCTGAACAGGATTTGGTTTGAAACACTTTAGGAGGATCAGACCTCAGTTGTTTGTTGTGCTTTTTTTTTCCTTAGTATTTATTTTTATGTACTTGAAAGACAGAGGAAAAGGAGAGACATGTTCTGTCTACTGGTTCACTCCTCAGATGGCTGCAGTGGCCAGGGCTGTGCCAAGCCAAAGCCAGAAGCCCAGAATTTCCATCAGGACCTCCCACATGGATGGCCGGGACCCAAATTCTTGGTCCATCTTCTGCCATTTTCCCAGGCACATTAGCAGGGAGATGGATTAGAAATGGAGTGCTGGGACTTGAACAGGTGCTCTGGTGGGATGCCATAGCTTAAGGTGTTCTGCCACAACACTGGCCCTGGTATCAGTTTGAAAAGAGGCCCTATTAAAGCAACATGGACTCTATTGAAATTAAATGCAGAACAAATTCATGGTGAAACTTGGTGGAAGAATGGAGAAGTCATTAGTGCTTTATGAAAAGGTTATGGGGATGGCTGGCCCTGTGGTGTAGCAGTTAAAGCCACCGCCTGCAGTGCCGGTATCCCACATGGGCACTAGTTTGAGTCCTGGCTGCTCCACTTGCAATCCAGCTCCCTGCTGATGTGCCTGGGAAAGCAGCAGAAGAAAGCCTATGTTCTTGGGCCCCTGCACCCATGTGGATGACCCAGAAGAAGCTCCTGGCAGCTCAGCTCCATTGCAGCCACTTGGGGAGTGAACCAGTGGTTGGAAGATCTCCCTTCTACCTTCTCCCTTCTCTCTCTTATCTCTTCTCTCTTCCTCTCTAACTCTGCCTGTCAAATAAATAAATGTTTAAAAAAAAAAAAGGGATGAGATGATATTGAATAGGAAGCCCACAGGGCAGACCATCTATATCAGTTTATAAGGAAAAAATGAATTTTGTTTTTGCCCTAATTGAGTAGGACTAGCATGTAACAGAAGAAACAATAGCCAACACCATAAATAGCTCAGTTAGTTCAACTAAAACAGTTCTGACAGAAAAATTAAAGTGAACTAAATGATAATGGTGCTTGATGAATGCCAGAACTTTTGTACCCAGATCAGCTTCAGACGAGAGCGGTGCTTTCAATGCAAATATTAAACAAGTGGGATTAAGATCTTGAAGCGGCTGGTGCCGCGGCTCACTTGGCTAATCCTCTGCCTGCAGCACTGGCACCCCAGGTTCTAGTCCCAGTCGGGGCGCTGGATTCTGTCTCAGTTGCTCCTCTTCCAGTCCAGCTCTCTGCTGTGGCCCAGGAGTGCAGTGGAGGATGGCCCAAGTGGTTGGGCCCTGCACCAGCATGGTAGACCAGGAGGAAGCACCTGGCTCCTGGCTTTGGATCAGTGCAGTGTGCCGGCTGTAGTGGCCATTTGGGGGTGAACCAACGGAAAAGGAAGACCTTTCTCACTCTCTCTCTCTCTCTCTCTCTCTCTCTCTCACTAACCCTGCCTGTCAAAAAAAAAAAAAAAAAAAAGATCTTGAATCATTTCTTCAAAGAATTTTAATAGGAAATGGAACATGGCTTTGCCTGTCCCATTCTGAACACTGAGTACAATTAGAGCAGTGACTACCAGGAGGTGGAAGTGATGCTGTCAGAGTAAAAGTGGACTGGTCCAGAACAGGGTTTATGGGCGAAAGTTTTGTGGGAATGCTCGAGATATTTTGCTTGTTGACTTTCTGATGGGCCAAAGAATCTAACATCCTAACATCTGGTTGTTAGGAGAGTGTTTTAAGAAAGCTGAAGTTTTAACAGCAAAACACTGAGAAAAGCTTCCTGGAGATTTCTTCTGTACCACAACAATGTTCCTGACAATTCCTCTTGTTAATTAAGGGCTGTTCTGTAAAAGTTTCCAATAGGAAATCCCCAGACATCCATGTTATAGTTTTGATATGTCTAATTCTGACTTATTTTTGTGTCCCAATCTTTTTTTCTTTTTTTGACGGGCAGAGTAGACAGAGAGAGACCGAGACCTTCCGTTGGTTCACCCCCCAAAATGGCCACTTTGGCTGGTGCACTGCACCGATCCAAAGCCAGGAGCCAGGCACTTCCTCCTGGTCTCTCATGCGGGTACAGGGCCCAAGCACCTGGGCCATCCTCCACTGCCCTCCCGGGCCACAGCAGAGAGCTGGACTGGAAGAGGAGCAACCGGGACAGAATCCGGTGCCCCGACCATGACTAGAACCCGGGGTGCCGGCACTGCAGGAGGATTAGCCTAGTGAGCCATGGCGCCGGCCTGTGTCCCAGTCTTAACAAGTCTTTAAAGTACACTCATTTTCCTTTGGTTAATTATGTATAAAAAATATATATATAAAGACTGCATTGACACGGTTAAATTTGCAGGATCCTCAGTTCTTTATGGAAGGCCTGAATGACTGATACCTCATACGAAAGTGTACTGAACTCAATAGGGGTATATTATGAGAAATAGTTTTTTTAATTTTTATCTTTTAATTCCATTTTCTGTAGACTGACATTTCCTCATATGATTTTTGAATATTTCTTGACTTTTCATTGTTGATGGTGTCCCTTACACAAGTTTTTAATTTTGCTGATATTTAATTTATACATATTTTTTGTAAAGAATTGATGTTAATTCTTCTTGAAACTAGTCTTAGAATTTTTTTTCTTTTTACAGATTTATTTTATTTGAAAGGCACAGTTAAAAAGAGAGAGAGAGAAGGAGGAGGATGGAGGGAAGGAGGGAGGGAGGGAGGAAGGAGGAGGTGGGGGAGAGAGACAGTGCTGTTCACTCCCCGAATGACTGCAATGGCCAGGGCTGGACCAGACTGAAGCCAGGAGTCTCCTCTGGGTCTCCTATGTGGGTGCAGGGGCCCAAGCACTTGGGCCATCTTCCGCTGCCTTCCCAAGCCATTAGCAGAGAGCTGGATCAGAAGTGGAGCAGCCAGCAGTAATATGGGATGCCAGTGTTATAGCAGGTGGCTTTACCTGCTATGTCACAACACTGGCCCGGGGATTTTCTTTTTGGCGAGTTTGTTTATTAGTAGTTCAGTCTTTTTACTTGGTAGAAAGGCCTATTCAGATTTCTTGTTTACTCTTGAGCCTTTTCTGTAGTTTGTGTCTTTGTAGGGATATATACATTTTATCTTGTTCGTAGTGATTTTATTTCAGCAAAGTTGGAAATAATGTTTCTTCTTTCTTTCCTGATTTTAATTATTTGACTCATCTTACCTTCATGGTCAGTATAATTAAAAATTTGTCAATTTGGTTGATGTTTAAAAAACCAACTTTTGATTATGTTCATTTTTCTCTATTTCCTATTATCTATTTCATTTATTTCCTCTCTTATCTTTATTGTTTCTTTCCCTCTGTTTGCTTTTGATTTAGTTTGTTTCCCTCCCCCCCTCACCTTTTTTCTAATTAATTAAGGTAAATATTTAGGTTATCGGGACCAGCATTGTGGCATAGTGGGTTAAGCCACTGCCTGCAGTTCTGGCATCTCATGGGTGCTGGTTTCAGTCCTAGCTGCTCAACTTGAAATCCAGCTCCTTGCTAATGAGCCTGAGAAGGCAACAGAAGATGTCCTAAGTATTTGGGCCTCTGTGCCTGTGTGGGAGACCCTGAAGAAGCTCCAGACTTCGGCCTGGCCAAGCCCTGAAGGTTTTGGCTATTTGGGGAGTGAACCAGTGGATGAAAGACCTCTCTCTTTCTGTCTTCCTCTCTCTCTGTAACTCTGGCTTTCAAAAAAAAGAAGAAAATTAAGTTATTGATCCAAATTGTCCTTTAGCAATTTTTGATTGTACAAATACACATAACAAAATTTCTTTTTGTAGGCTTATTTATTTATTTGAAAGGCAAAGTTACAGAGAGGGAGGCATACACACACACACACATATACATTTTCCATCTACTGGTTCACTCTCCAAATAACTGCAATACCAGGGCTGAACCATGCTGAAGCAAGGAGCCTGTAACTGCATCTGGGTTTCCCACATGGGTGGCTAGGGCCGAAGCACTTGGGCCATCTTTCGTTGCTTTTTTAGGCACATTGACAGGGAGTTGGATCCAAAGTGGAGCAGAACTAGAACTGACACCCATATGGAATGCCACTGGCATTGTAGGTAGCAGCTTTGCCCACTGTGCCACAATGCTAGCCCAGTGTTTTTCTGAATTTTTTTTTAAATTTTGAAAATTTTAAACTATACAGTGTGCAGTTTTTCAAACTTGTCATTAATAAAAATTGAAGTTCTGTACTTTACCATAGTCTCCCTTTTGTATGGCAGTCTGCTGCCTATTACAGTTAAGGGGGTGGGGGAAAGCTAAATGTATAATTAATTAATAGTTTTTTTTTTTTATCTTTTAGACCTAAAGATTGTCTTCGGTCTATTATGAGGAGGGTGAATCATAAAGATCCTCATGTTGCTATGCAAGCTTTGACTGTAAGTTATTTCGTTTTTAACAGTACCACAAAATTAGCTGCCGACATCGAGCCCTTTTAACTTGTGATTTTGTGTTTTTAGCTTCTAGGAGCATGTGTGTCAAACTGTGGCAAAATTTTTCATTTAGAAGTGTGCTCAAGAGATTTCGCTAGTGAAGTAAGCAATGTGTTAAATAAGGTAAGGAGCATTATTTCCATAAATTAAGGCAGTCTTCTTTCTTCATATGTTTTGTTGTTGAATTCTTTACATTTTTAATCGCAAGAGACTGTTCTGTGTTTTTTTAAACCCCTTTTTAGGTTATGTCTGTCCAGTGTGTAAGTAAATGTTATGTTTTTGCTGAAGAGACTACAAATCCACATAACTTTAAGAGTTGGTTTTTTTTTTTTTTTTTTAAGATTTATTTATTTATTTGAAAGAGTTACACAGAGAGAGAAGGAGAGGCAGACAGAGAGGTCGAGAGAGAGAGGTCTTCCATCCGCCGGTTCACTCCCCAGTTGGCTGCAATAGCCGGAGCTGTGCCGATCCGAAGCTTGTTCCTGGTCTCCCACACGGGTGCATGGGGCCAAGTACTTGGGTCATCTTCCATTGCTTTCCCAGGCCATAGCAGAGAGCTGGATCGGAAGTGGAGCAGCCGGGACTAGAACCAGCATCCATATGGGATGCTGGTGCTTCAGGCCAGGGTGTTAACCCACTGCACCACAGCACCGGCCCCAAGAGTTGTTTTTTTTTAAGCCCTGTTATATAACTATTTCCCCCCATCATTCCTTTCATCTGATTAGAAAACATGTATATTTCCAAATCTAAATAATATCAACCTACTTTAGGCACAGTTTTTATTGCCATTTTTGTAGCCACACACAAGTATTTTCCTAACATAGAATCCTTTAGAAATTCTTCCAAAAGTATATGACAATCCTAAGTTTCATCTGAAACATGAATAAGGCCATTGCATGGCCATCACAGGATGTTAATATTTTACTTCTGTTTTCTTTAGCTGAACTTGTACCTGGAGTTGCTTCAAAATAATGGCAGGGGAGTTTCCTGTCCAAAATTGCCCAAACCTTCCTGAGATGGGGCTGGTTGTGATTCCAAAGAATCACACGCTAAATGCCAGGGTGATCAGTCAAAGGGGAACTTACTTGAGGCTATGGTGTCCTCATGATAGACAATGAGATGAGAGATGTTCCATCTGGGTATGTCTGTAATGAATGGTCAGGTTTTTTATTGAGTAATATGAAGGTTTAAGGATTTTGGTTCAGGGTTGGGGCCAGTTTCTAGGTTTTTAGCAACATATTTGATCTTTTAGTGTTTCAGGCCACAATTTTAACTTTTGTCAATACCTGAACATGTTGAAGCCCATGTAACTTGATTAGGGCAAAGAAAAACTGGTGAGGTGAACTGAGGGACTTTACAGTTGCCTACTTACTTGATAATGGAATAAAGGAAGTATACCGTTTGTTTTCTCCTTCCAATTTTTTTATTGGTTTTGCCAAAAACAAAATGTCTTTGTCTTCCTGATATACAACGGTTGCTTAGTTGCAGGGTGCTCTGAGAAGTCTTGTTTTGCTGATCTAGCAAATGCTAAAACATATTTAATATTTTAATTTTGAAACGATACATATAAAATGACTCTATGTTTTTTCATTGTGTAAAAGTAGCAGTTTATTTCCAGCAACCAACTATTTTAGTATTTCACATGTGTAGCCTAGGAGTTCTTTGTAATTGAAAAGAATCTATAACTCTATAATCTTTCTATTTAAAATGTCTATATTATATCATCAGCCATGAAATTTCTCTTTCTCATTAATTTTTTGTTCTGTTTCTTAGGGTCATCCAAAAGTATGTGAAAAATTAAAGGCTCTTATGGTTGAATGGACAGATGAATTTAAGAATGATCCGCAGCTTAGCCTGATATCAGCAATGATTAAGAACCTTAAAGAACAAGGAGTTACGTTCCCAGCTATTGGCTCTCAGGTATTTTATAAAGTTGTGTGTGCTACAGTTTGTTTCTCTAAAATAGCTATGTTTACTTATGTTTTTTTCTCCATCCCCACATAGATTTTAGTACTTCAGAGTAAAATTATTATTATTATTATTTTTTGACAGGCAGAGTTAGACAGTGAGAGAGAGAGACAGAGAGAAAGGTCTTCCCTTTCCGCTGGTTCACCCCCCAAATGGCTGCCATGGCCAGCGTGCTGCGGCAGGCTCTCTGTGCCGATCAGAAGCCAGCAGCCAGGCGCCCCCTCCCGGTCTCCCATGCGGGTGCAGGGCCCAAACACCCGGGCCATCCTCCACTGCCCTCCTGGGCCACAGCAGAGAGCTGGCCTGGAAGAGGGGCAACCGGGACAGAATCCGGCGCCCCGACCAGGACTAGAACCCAGGGTGCCGGCACCGCAGGCGGAGGATTAGCCTAGTGAGCTGCGGTGCCGGCCTATTAGTAGTAGTAGTAGTAGTCATACAAGAAAAACATCATAGTGGAATATTAAAATGCTCCAACTTATAATCTCTACTTCCTCAATATTTCTCTTCTCCAGCTGAATTGATTTAGCATTTTATAATTTTTTATAGTTTTTTTAATAGTTTTTTTTTTTTTACCTTTAAAAACTTTATCTACTTGAGAGACACAAGGAAGGACATACTATTGTGCTGGTTCACTCCTCAAATGCCTCAGTGACCTTTATTCAGGGGCCAAAGCCAAGATCTCTATCTAGATCCCCCATCTAGGTGTCAGGGACCCAATTCCTTGAACCATCACTACTGCCTTCCAGAGTCCTCATTAGCGAAAGCTGGAGTCAGGAGCAGAGCCAGGCATTGAACCCAGGCTCTCTGGTATGGCAAGTGGGTGTCTTTAACCGCTAGATCAAATGCTTTCCCCATAATACATTTTTTTTATAGATTTATTTATTTACTAGAAAGAGTTACACAGAGAGAGGAGAGGCAGAGAGAGAGAGAAAGAGGGATCTTTCATCTGCTGGTTCACTCTCCAGTTGGCCACAACGGCCGGAGCTGTGCTGATCCGAAGCCAGGAGCTTCTTCCGGTCTCCCATGTGGGTGCAGGGGCCCAAGGACTTGGGCCATCTTCTACTGCTTTCTCAGGCCACAGCAGAGAGCTGGATCAGAAGTGGAACAGCCGGGACTCGAACTGGTGCCCATATGGGATGCCGGCATTGCAGGCAGCAGCTTTACCCACTGTGCCACAGTGTTGGCCCCCATAATACAGTTTTAATAATATAGACAGATTTGCTTTATTGTATCAGGTAACACTGACAATCTAAATGCTCTGAATGCTTTAGTTTTATCTACAGAGAATGACAGCTCAAATATCACAATGTATCTTTAAGATTTAACGATGGAAATCAAGTTCTTTTCATTGTAAAATTCATGAATAACTTAAAAATGAGATAAAAGAGCCAAATGGATAGACATATATGAAACACTTCTCTTAGAGAGCTGATCAATAAATAAGTCTTCTTCACTCCCCTGCAGACATGATTGAAAGGCCCAACTTTTTCTATCACAAAACGAAAAATATTATGTAAAAGAATCAATCTCTAATTCATGTCATATGGAAAAAAAATCAGTGGATACCTTTTTTTTAAAGAAATTTATTTATTTATTTGAAAGAGTTACAGAGAGGGAGTGGAGAGACAGAGACAGAGATTTGATTCTCTGGTTCATTCCCCATGATCACACGTATCAGTGCTTGGCCAGGCTGAAGCCAGGAACCAGGAGCTTCTTCTGGGTGTCCCATGAAGGGCCCAAGCACTTGGGCCATCTTCTGCTGCTTTTCTCAGGATATTGGCAGGGAGCTGGATGGGAAGTGGAGCAGCTGGGACACGAACCAGTGACCATTTTGGATGCCAGCATTTCAAACAGTGTCTTTAACTGCTGTAGCACAATGCTGACCCCAATGGATATCTTTTTTATTCACTTTGACTTCTGGGTAATGGTCCTTTAGGATGCCTCACTAATCAAGGTGACTCAAAATGTGTGGTAGTTGTCTTTTCCAACCATATGTATTGGAATAGATTATAATGAGTGGTATAAAGTCATGGACAAAAACCTCTAGGTTGTGGAAACTTAATTTAGACTTATGAGCACTTCAGAGAGTCTTGCAGATTAGCTGTCCTCCAAACTTATCTGAACTTTCTTCCCAAAGCATTTTCACTTAACTAAGGACTCTTGAGAAGATCCAGAAGACACCCAGAGAAAATGCAGCAAGAAATATTGTTCTTCTTACTTGAAAATGGTTTATTGATAGCTGGCTTTTCCTGTGTAGATTGATTTCTAGAATCTGTGTAATTAAGAAATAATTGTATTCAGAATATTCCAAGATGTTGTAAATTTCTTGATAACAGAAACAATGTTTGCTTATCAAAAGTGGACTACTTGCAGAGAACCTAAGAGTATGGTTAGTGGAATTGTATTTTCTATACATGTTCTAGAACTTGTTACTCAAAATGTGGTTTATTGAATGGTATCACCTGCATTACCTGGAAACTTGTTGGCAGTGTAGCCTCTCAGCTACCACTCAGACATACAGAATCCTTATCTCCATTTTAGTAAGATATGTTGATATTTGAGAGGCACTGCTCTGAAGTTTTTCTTTTTTTTTCTTTTTATTTTATTTTTATTTTTTGACAGGCAGGGTGGACAGTGAGAGAGAGAGACAGAGAGAAAGGTCTTCCTTTGCCGTTGGTTCACCCTCCAATGGCCGCCGCGGCCTGCGCGCTGTGGCTGGCGCACTGCGCTGATCCGATGGCAGGAGCCAGGTACATCTCCTGGTCTCCCATGGGGTGCAGGGCCCAAGGACTTGGGCCATCCTCCACTGAACTCCTGGGCCACAGCAGAGAGCTGGCCTGGAAGAGGGGCAACCGGGACAGAATCCGGTGCCCTGACCGGGACTAGAACCCAGCGTGCCGGCACCGCGAGGCGGAGGATTAGCCTAGTGAGCCGCGGCGCCGGCCTGAAGTTTTTCAGTGCAAATAAAAATAACATTTCATTGCACAAAGAGGCTTACTCTTAGAAGGAAGGATAATTAATAATATGTAGCATTATGTGGTTAATCTAGAATCTTAGATAGCTTAGGAACAACTTGAGGGATATTCTGTTCCCGTCCTCTAATTTTACAGATGAGGAAACTGACATGGTTAAGTAACTTACCCAGGGCCACAGCTAGCAGTTGACAGAACTGGAACTAGAAAACAGGCACGGTGACACTGAATTCAGTATTCTTTCCACTACCCAGTCTTGCTTCCCTTTGATACAGAAGTTGTTGGATATGTGTCTGTCCAGATTGATTTCAAAAAGGGCAAGAGTGGAGGGAACATTGGCAAGACCATTGATGGTTAGAGAAATGGAGTTATTCTCTTGTTCAAAAGATTTAGGACATAGAAAAGTAAGAGTAAAGTTATTTTGTTCTAGATAATGTAAAAGAAATAAAATTCTGTTTGCTGTGTCAGCTACAGTAAATACATAAAATGTATATAGAATATGATGAGGTAGGATTTTTTTAGTGACTTATGAAAAGCTTTAGAAATCATGTATATAAAGAGCTTCATGTTTAATGAAAAAATGTCATCTATGTTCAGTTACAGTATTCCCTGTTGATTTTTTTTTCAAATATTTATTTATTTATTTGAAAGGCAGATTTATAGAGAGGCAGAGAGAGAGAGAGAGAGGTCTTCCATCTGCTGATTCACTCCCCAGATGGCTACAACAGCTGGAGCTGGGCCCATCCAAAGCCAGGAGCCAGAAGCTTCTTCTGGGTCTCCAAAGCGGGTGCAGGGGCCCAACCACTTGGGCCATCTTCCACTGCTTTCCCAGGCCATAGCAGAGAGCTGGATAGGAAGTGAAGCAGCCAGGACTTGAACCAGTGCTTATATGGGATGCCAGCACTGCAGATGGTGGCTTTACCCACTATGCCACAGCGTCGGCGCCTTCCTCTAGATTTTATAACCGCTTAGTTATTTAAGTCATCAGTACATTTTCACCAGACTAGTCTTTTGTCAGAGCATACTTAAGAACTCCCAGAAAATATGAAGATTTTTCTAAGTAAATTTTTTTTCATTCAAGTACAGAGGAAAATAAGGTAAAAAATAATAAAGTCATACTTTGGTTACCAGCTCATGCCAGTGCAATTCTGTTTGACTAGTTAGTAAGACATATATAATTTACTTAGGACCTGAAGATAGAAAGGGACTTTGAAAAGTGTGTAATTCAAGAATGTAGGGCTTTCTTCTGTACTTCCTACTCAACGGATGGACTTCCTTAATGTCACAAAAGATTAGTGTAGCTATAATGTGAAATTTACAAAACTGGCAACAAAAGATTGATACAAATAAAGTGTCTCTTCAGTACTTTGAATTTTTGGAAGTGTTTTATAATTAAAACATTATCTAAAGAAGATTACAACTAGGGATGGTTCAGAATTGAGGGTACCTAAGCTTGTAGAGAGTGAACTCCACAAATACCCTTCATTTCATTTCATTTCATTTCATTTCATTTCATTTCATTTCATTTCATTTCATTTCATTTCATTTCATTTTTCTCCCCTTCCCCTTCCTTTTGCCCTTCCCCTTCCCCTTCCCCTTCCCGTCTCCCTCCCTCCCTCCTTTCCTTCCTTCCCTTTTTCATCCACTTGAAAGGCAGAATTACAGATAGGCGGGGGGGGGGGGGGGGGGGTCCTTCATCCGCTGGTTCATTCCCCAGATGGCCTTAACGGCCGGAGCTGTGCTGATCTGGAGCCAGGAGCTTCTTCTAGGTCTCCCACGTGGGTGCAGGGGCCCAAGGACTGGGCCATCTTCTACTGCTTTCCCAGGCCATAGCAGAGAGCTGGATCAGAAGTCAAGCAGCCAGGTCTCGAACCGGCGCCCTTATGGGATGCTGGTGCTTTAGGCCAGGGCGTTAATCCACTGCGCCACAGTGCTGGCCCCTGAGTTGTCTACTCTTAAGTGTCCAGTTGTCCTCAGTCTGTTTCCCCCAATTCTTACTCTTCTCCCTTTCTAGGTAGAAGTTGCTCCAGTTTGGATTTCTTTCTTCTTCAGAAGTTTGTGATGAGTTGATGAGAAGGGTCTTGAGATTTCTTGGATTAGATATGGTAGGAGAATTTGAGAACAACTTTCAACTATTGTGTTCCTTTTCTTGTGTTAGGCTGCAGAACAAGCAAAAGCAAGCCCAGCTCTGGTAGCCAAGGATCCTGGTACTGTGGCAAACAAAAAGGAAGAAGAAGATTTAGCAAAAGGTGCGTTTTTAAGTTCTTGGTGGGAAGAAGTCTCTGAATATTTTTCCCTCAGGTATTTCATGAAAAAAAAAAGAAAAAAACAACTAAAACTTGACATTCACAGCTGAAGTCCACTGTCTTCCTCTCCTCAGTTTCATTTCTTTGCTGTCCTCATCAGAGTCAACTGTTAATCTTGTGTGTCTTTTTGCTATTTTTATATTTTTACCATACTGTATTTCTGCAATCAAGTACTTTGTGTACAAAAAATGCATTTTTCATAAATAGTACATTAAAGCAGATATTGTCAGGGTGATGGAGAGTGAGGGAAAGAATGAGAGATTTCCAATTACTGATTGATTTATCAAATGCCCTCAACAGCCAGGGCTGGGCCAGACAAAAGCCTGAAACTCCTACCAGATCTCCCGCATGTGTGGTATGGGCCCAAGTACTTTTTTTTTTTTTTTTTTTTTATGACAGGCAGAGTGGACAGTGAGAGAGAGAGAGAGACAGAGAGAAAGGTCTTCCTTTTGCCGTTGGTTCACCCTCCAATGGCCGCCGCGGCCGGCGCGCTGCGGCTGGCGCACTGTGCTGATCCGAAGGCAGGAGCCAGGTGCTTCTCCTGGTCTTCCATGCGGGTGCAGGGCCCAAGGACTTGGGCCATCCTCCACTGCACTCCCTGGCCATAGCAGAGAGCTGGCCTGGAAGAGGGGCAACCGGGACAGAATCCGGCGCCCTGACTGGGACTAGAACCTGGTGTGCCGGCACCGCAAGGCGGAGAATTAGCCTAGTGAGCCACGGTGCCGGCTCAATAGTATACTCTTAAGTACTATCTGCAGCTCTTTTAATGAAACATTATTTGTGAGATCTATTCATGATGAAACATATAAATGAAGTTCATTTGTTAACTGCTGTATAGTATTCCAATATGTTAATATACTATACTATTTATCTCTTCTTACTGATCTACTGATCAATATTTGGTTTTGTTTCTGACTTTTTCATTATAATAAATGATGCTGCAGTGAGTATCCTTGTATGTGTTCCTTTGTGTGTATGTATATGTGTGTCACTTTATTATATGTACCTTAAAGCAGTGCTGTTGGATCATGGGATTGGTTCATTTTCAGCTTTACTAAATGGTTCAGTGACTTTTTTAAAAAATATTTTTATTTATTTATTTGAAAGGAGAGGAAGAGAGAGAGAGAGAGAGAGGGAGGGAGGGAGGGAGGGAGGAAGGGAGGAAGGGAGGTCTTCCATCCACTGGTTGACTCCCCAGATGGCCGCAAAGGCCAGAGCTGCACCGATGTGAAGCCAGGAGCCAGGAGCTTCTTCTGGGTCTCCCATGTGGGTACAGGGGCCCAAGGACCTGGGCCATCCTCTACTGCTTTCCCAGGCCATAGCAGAGAACTGGATCGGAAGTGGAGCAGCCGGGTCTCGAACTAGTGCCCATGTGGGATGCCAGCACTTCAGGCCAGGGCGTTAACCCGCTGTGCCACAGCGCTGGCCCCTCAGTGACTTTCTTTTCAGCAGCGTATGAATACTTGTTTTATTACTATTTTTGTGTGTGTGTCTTTTTTCAGAGTGTGTTTCTTTTTTTTTTAAAGATTTTATTTATTTGACAGGTAGAGTTACAGACAGTGAGAGAGAGACAGAGAGGTCTTCCTTCCGTTGGTTCACTCCCCAAATGGCCACAATGGCTGGAGCTGTGCCAATCCGAAGCTAGGAGCCAGGTGCTTCTTCCTGGTCTCCCATGCAGGTGCAGGGCCCAAGCACTTGGGCCATCTTTTACTACTTTTCCAGGCCACAGCAGAGAGCTGGACTGGAAGAGGAGCAGCTGGGACTAGAACCAGCGCCCATATGGGATGCTGGCACCACAGGTGGAGGATTAACTTACTGCACCATGGCACCGGCCCCCTATTAATACTTCTTAAACTGCTGATAACACTTCGTATTGTCTTTAATTTTTATAAATCTGATAAATGTGAAATGGTGTCCAATTTTTATTTTATTTCCTTGATTGCTAGTGAGGTTGAGTTCTTTGTTATTATAGTCCTTGGCTATCTGATTTCCTCTGAGGTAAATTATCTTTCTTTTCCTTTGTTTTTGAATTATGATATATGGAGGCCTTTATTTTAGATATTAATCTGTTGTCTATTATATCTGTTGTATGTTTCTATTCCTGGTATTTGGCTTGTATTTTAATTTTGGTAATAGTTGTTTTATTAACTATAAATTTTAAATTTTGATTTTTTTGTTTTCTGTTACAATTTTTTAAAATATTTATTTACTTGAAAGTCCGAGTTAACACAGAGATAGAAGGAGAGGCACAGAGAGAGAGAGAGAGAGAGAGGTCTTCCATCTGCTGGTTCACTCCTCAATTGGCCGCAGTGGCTGGAGCTGTGCTGATCTGAAGCCAGGAACATCTTCTGGGTCTCCACGCTGGTGCAGGGCCCAAGGACTTGGGCCATCCTCTTCTTCTTTCCCAGACCACAGCAGAGAGTTGGATTGGAAGTGGAGCAGCTGGGACTCGAACCAGCACCCATATGAGATGCTGGCATTGCAGGTCGCGGCCTTACCTGCTACGCTACAGCATTGGCCCCTATTACGATTTTTAATTTGTGCCTTTTTAAAGAAAATTTTTCTTACCTCAGAGTCCTAAAATATATTTTCCTATATTGTGTTCTAATACCTTTAAAGTTATATTTTCATATTGCCTTTTTTTTTTCTTTTTTTTTGACAGGCAGAGTGGACAGTGAGAGAGAGAGAGAGACAGAGAGAAAGGTCTTCCTTTGCCGTTGGTTCACCCTCCAATGGCTGCCGCGGCCGGCGCGCTGCGGGACGGCGCACCGCGCTGATCCGATGGCAGGAGCCAGGAGCCAGGTGCTTTTCCTGGTCTCCCATGGGGTGCAGGGCCCAAGCACCTGGGCCATCCTCCACTGCACTCCCTGGCCACAGCAGAGAGCTGGCCTGGAAGAGGGGCAACCGGGACAGAATCCGGCGCCCCAACCGGGACTAGAACCCGGTGTGCCGGCGCCGCTAGGCGGAGGATTAGCCTAGTGAGCCGCGGCGCTGGCCCATATTGCCTATTAAAAGAAGTAGTTATGGGTTCTCTTGAAAGCAAGGTAGTCAATGCTTTAAGATTATGTTGCAGAGCCCATGTGATCCACGATAATCTTAGGTCTGCACTAGGGGACTGGTGTGGAGATAGAGGAGATGCATTTGAGTTCTAATTTGGACGATTTTTTGGTGAGTCTTCAGACTGAGTATGTAACAATTATATTTGGAGCAATAAAATCCAGGTTCTTATACTGCCCTTGATTTAGTAAGTCTGCAGTGAAATTTGATATACTTGGCTTCCTGGGTGGTTTTATTTATCATTGTGGGAGTTTAAGCTGTAGGAATATTTTATAAAGGAGAAAGAAAATATAAATTTTCTGCAGCTGGATCTAATGAAAGGGCCTAAGGGGTTATATCTTATTATACTTAGAATAATTTAAATTGTAGCTCTTTGGTAAAAATAAGAGTAATCATGCTATTCAATTTCTTCATTAGTTTATTTAAACTTCAGTTGTGAGTGAATGAATAAAATTGACTAAATGATTTGTGTTTGGTAGAGCAGTATTTGTCCTAGTTTTCAAATGCAATATTGAAGAAAGTACTTTTACCTTTTGTACTTCTTTGGATTGTTGGATATATTAACATTTTGGTTCTTTTTAAACTCATTGCTTTCCAGCCATTGAGTTGTCATTGAAGGAACAAAGGCAGCAGTCCACCACCCTTTCCACCTTGTATCCGAGCACATCCAGTCTCTTAACTAACCACCAACACGAAGGCCGAAAAGTCCGTGCTATATATGACTTTGAAGCTGCTGAAGATAATGAACTTACTTTTAAAGCTGGAGAAATTATTACAGTTCTTGATGACAGGTAATGGTTATATTAAATTAAGCATTCATATGAAAATATATAGCATATTACTCCTGTGTTTCACATTATTTCTGTTGAATGCAGTTACCAAATATGATAAAATATATTGACCCAGATTATTTTCTCTGCATGACTGTTGGTTGACTTGCTTGTGTAATATTCAGTGAATTCTTATTTCATCATTGAATTTTTTTCTTGCTTATTGTTTAAATGGTTTTTATTTGCTTTGGAGAACTTAATTTTTTTTTTTTTTTTTTTATAGGCAGAGTTAGTGAGAGAGAGAGAGAGAGAGAGAGAGAGAGAAAGGTCTTCTTTTTTCTGTTGCTTCACCCCCCAGGGTGGCTGCCACGGCCAGTGCATTGCGGCCGGCGCGCTGCGCCGATCCAAAGCCAGGAGCCAGGTGCTTTCTTCTGGTCTCCCATGCAGGTGCAGGGCCCAAGGACCTGGGCCATCCTCCACTGCACTGGGCCACAGCAGAGAGCTGTATTGGAAGAGGAGCAACTGGGACAGAATCTGGCGCCCTGACCTTGACTAGAACTCCGGGTGTCAGCACCGCAGGCAGAGGATTAGCCTAGTGAGCCGCGGTGCTGGCCATGTTTAATTTTTATTTTTTATGCCATCTAATGATATAGAATATAAGAAAAATTTAACATTTTAGAAAATACATTGAATATGTGTATTTATGTATGAAGTTTGTAAGAAATATATAATCAGTTGAATTTCTTTATACAGAACAGTAGTCTGTGTGCAATATACTTATTGTACATTGAATTACATATATTATTGTAGGGGAGTGATAATGCATCAGTTTTTTTCACTATCACTTTATGGTGTTTTATTTGACAGTGAATTGCTACTGATAATGTACAAATATTTGAAAATAATATTTAAAAATAAAGTTATTCCTATAAGATTACTTTTACTGATTGTCTTAGCCCATTTGGGCTGTAGCAGCAAACTGCCATAGACTGGGTGTCTTATAAACAACAGAAATTTATTTCTTATAGTTCTGGAGGCTAAGAAATCTTAAGATCAAGGTGCTCACAAATTTGATGTCTAATGAAGGTCTTACTCCTAGTTCATAGATGGCTGTCTTTTCCTTGTATCCTCACATGGCAAAAATGGCAAATGAATTCTCTGGGTCTCTTTCATAAGGTCACTAATCCCACTCATAAGGGCTGTGTTCTCATGGCCTAATCACCTCACCATGGCATATCCTCCCAAATCCTTTACTTCCTGATACTTTGCAGTTAGGATTTCAAAATACAGATTTTGAAGGGACACAAAAATTATACAAGAGCACTTACATTTTAATATGTTTTATTTGAGTTAGAAAAAATGTAGTAAAGTTTGAGCTGGAAATTGCACAAAATCTTGGTCATTCATTCTTTCAAAAATTGAGTACTTGCCATCTTTCTATATAGTAGCACAAGGGATATAGTGGTAAACATGAATATACAATAGGGAGTGTTCTGCTTGTAAACTTTCTGTGCTATGAGAGCAGTGGAGAGCAGTGTCTTCTTTCTTACGTGTTTACTGTTGGGAGAAAAAATTGCTAAGGAGTGGAAATTTAGGTAAGGAGTCTACCTTTATTTTTTTTTAAGTTTTTTTTTTTATTTATTTGAAAGTCAGAGTTACACACAGAGAGGAAAAGAGGCAGAGAGAGAGAGAAAGAGAGAGAGGTCTTCCATCTGATCTGATGGTTCACTCTCCAGATGGTCACAATGGCCAGAGCTGTTTCGATCCAAAGCCAGGAGCCTCCTCCTGGTCTCCCACATGGGTGCAGGGGCCCAAGGAGTTGGGCCATTTTCCTCTGCTTTCCCAGACCATAGCAGAGAGCTGGATCGGAAGAGGAGCAGCTAGGACTCAAACCAGCGCCCATATGGTGGGTGCCAGCACTGCAGGTGGTGGCTTCATCTGCTATGCCACAGTGCCGGCTCCAGGAGTCTACCTTTAAATCTCTATTATAATGGTTTCTTATGCTGGAGACCACAAACCACCTGAAGTTGACAATTTTTAAACTTTGCATATCTTTTTTTGGGAGAGAATTTACAACTTTATTACATTCTCAAATCATCCACTGGCTCTCCAAAAAGATTATGTGTTAAGTAAATTCTCTGTGACCCTATTTCTCATTTTTTTTTAAAGATTTATTTATTTCTTTGAAAGAGTTACACAGAGAGTTGAGAGGCAGAGAGGAAGAGAGAGAGAGAGAGAGAGGTATTCCATCCGATGGTTCACTCCCCAGATGGCTGCAACGGCTGGAGCTGTGCCGATTGGAAGCCAGGAGCTTCTTTTGGGTCTCCCATGCGGGTGCAGGGGCCTAAGCACTTGGGCCATCCTCCACTGCTTTCCCAGCCCACAGCAGAGAGCGGGATTGGAAGTGGAGCAGCCGGGTCTTGAACCGGCACCCATATGGGATGCCAGCACTTCAGGCCAGGGCATTAACCCACTGTGCCACAGCGCTGGCCCCTGTATTTCTCATTTGTAATAATGATGCATTCATTGACACCTTCACTGCATTGTTGTTTCAGATATAGTAGTAATATAAGCTAAATGCTTTAAAAATAAAGACTTCAAAGAAATAAAAATCTTTATTGCAGTAAAGCATTTTTTTTTGTTGTAGTGATCCCAATTGGTGGAAAGGTGAAACCCATCAAGGCGTAGGGTTATTCCCATCTAATTTTGTGACTGCAGATCTCACTGCTGAGCCAGAAATGAGTAAGTATTTTCCATGATGTCAATGCATGATAACCCATAATCCTCATCTTAGTGACTCTGAAATGGTTGTACCTCTCAGATGTTTATTAGAAACATGCAGCTCTCCATGCCACTCTGGCTGGAGGTCTCTGACTGTAATAAATCTTGCTTTTAAATATCAGCAAAACAAAACAAAACAAAATCATACAGCGCTTAAACAGTAAAATTATTTACTAGAAATGATCTGCATCAAGATTATCTTTAGACAGACTATGGAGTTTATCATATATATTTATGTAGATATGTAGATGCCATTATGAAAACACAAATCAATTAAGAAGTGTTATAGAATTTATACATTATGTATTTCTTTCGTCAGTGTGACAACTTCAGTGTAACCTTATAGAAGATTCTTCCTATTAAAAGGTAGGGATCATTTCCTTAGTGTCTAACCCAGATTTGGAAACAGTGTCCTCTAAGCAACATAATAGCTTTCTTGAGTTCCTATGTTAGATATTAAGATGGAGCCATATTACCTAATGTTTAGCTAATCACATAAATGATTTTTTTGTTTGATTCCAAACCTTTGCTGACTGAAGGAGAGGGTAAACATTTGACACAGTGATGAAGACAGTTGCACTCCGTATTGGATTGCGTTTTTGAGTCCCGGCTCTGTTTCTGATTCTAGCTTCCTGCTAATCAGTACCCAGCTCAAATAGTTGGGTTCCTGCCGCCCACATGGAAGACCTAGATTGAACTCTGAGCTATGGGCTCTGGCTTCTGCCTGGCCCAGATCCAATGTTGTAGACATTTGGAGAGTACACCATCAGATGGGAGATCTCTGTCTTTTCCAAATAAAATGAAAAACGTATTTTAAAAGCTAGAAACTGGGAATATTACTAGCAGGTATAATAATTGCAATAGTCTGTTAAACTATTAGAAAACAGTTCACTCTGAATGTATTTTTTTTTTTTTAAGATTTATTTATTTGAAAGGCAGAGGAGTGACAGAGAAGTATTTTCATCCACTTGGTTCACTTCCCAAATGGCCGCAAAAGCTGAACCTGGGGAAGGCCGGAAGCCTGGAGCCAGGAATTCCATATAGATCTCTCATGTGGGTGACAGTGGCCTATGTACTTGGGCCATCTTTTGCTGCCTTCCCAGGTACATTAACAGGGAGCAAGGTCAGAAGCAGAGCATCCAGGACTAGAACCAGTACTTGACCATGGGATGCCACCATTGCCAGTGGTGCTTAACCCACTGTGCCACAATGCCAGCCCTGCTTATATTTCTATTAATACTATACTCTATCAGTCTTCAAAATGCTAAGGTTTGAATCATCAATAAAAGTGTGTTATAATCTCTATTTAAGAAAAAAAAAGTTCAAGTCTAGAAAGACTATTGGTAATTGAAATATGTAGAGGTTTTGGAGAGTTTTTATATAGCTTTTTTTAACTGCTGTTACCTGTTAGAATATTTCATCTCATCTTTCTCTAATGCTGATGGGAAAAAGTTACAAAGCCATATAATGCTTAAGTATTTTTTAGTTTTTACGAATTGTAAGGAGAGATCTTTGTCTTAGTCATCTTTTTTATTTCCAAAAACATGTAATACTGAATCTTTCCTGTAATAAATACTACATAAAATATTTATAGGAGACGTGATAGATAAATATGCATGTTAATAGTAAAAAGATACTTCTTTTTCAAGGGAAAGCTTTAAAAACAAACCAGAAATTACAGATCTTTAATTAAATGATGCCTTCTCATAGTTATTGCCAGGTTATCTTGATCTTGTCACTCTTATAGACACATTTCTGATATCCATTCTTTCTATGAAGTTCTTTTCCTTCTCTCTCCCCTCTCCTCCTCCCCTCCCCTCCTCTCCCCTTCCCTCCCCTTTCATTTATTTGAGAGTTAGAGTTATGAGCAGAGGAGAAGGAGAGTGAGATCTCTCATCTGCTGGTTCATTTCCCAAATGGATGCTAAAATTGGGGCTGAGCAAGGCTGAAGCCAGGAACCTGGAACTCCATCTGGAGTTCCCATGTGGCTGATATGGGTTCAAGCACTCAGGCCATCTTCTGCTGCTTTCCCAGGCACGTTAGTAGGGAGCTAGATCAGAAGTGGAGCAGCCAGGACTCAAGCTGGCACCTACATGAGATGCTGGCATTGCAAGTGGTGGCTTAACTCGCTACAACACAGTGCTGGCCACATGTTCTTTTTCTGTTAGTACTCAGAAACACAGAACTTTGTTCAGATGGCATTGCATAGTGTGTCAGCTTTTTAATAACCTTAGGGCAGTTGTAGTGGTATGGGGTTCTTTTTTGTTTGTTTTGGGGCTTTATTTTTGTCCTGAATCAGTTGTCAGGAAGGATGGAATTTGCTTGGATTTCTCTTCATGATAAGATTGAACATCTAATTTAGAACATGTAGCCATTTCGTCATTTTTTCATCATAGGTCAATGAAGCTTCACTAAGTTTTTTTTGCATATTTTTCAAGTTCATAGAAAATTTAAATTAAATAAATAAATAAATAAAACTTGTTTATTTTAGTGCACAAACATTTTGAAGTCTATGTGTGGCTTTTTCATACTACACTTTTTTCATGAACTTTTAAAAGACCCTTTGTTTCAGTCTGGAAAATCTAAAAGGGAATTAGGAACATCAGACCTTATGTAATGGGTTTATACTTGTAGTTTTTTTTTTTTTTTAAGATTTATTTTATTTATTTGAATGACAGAGTTACAGAGAGAGGTAGAGACAGAGAGAGAGGTCTTTCATCCACTGGTTGATTCCCCAGATGGTCACAACAGCCGGAGCTGTGCCGACCTGAAGCCAGGAACCAGGAGCTTCTTCCAGGTCTCCCATGTGGGTGCAGGGGCACAAGGACTTGGGCCATCTTATACTACTTTCCAGGACGTTGCAGAGAGCTGGAATCAGAAGAGGAGCAGCCAGGACTAGAACCAGTGTCCATATGGGATGCCAGTGCTTCAGGCCAGGGCTTTAACCCACTGCGCCACAGCGCTGGCTATACTTGTAGTTCTCATGCTTGGAACAGACATGCTAGGATGATCTTTGTAAGCGTCATTCTTTTTGAGAAACTAGAAACCCTCTTCATTTAATGTGTCAACTAGAAAAATCTACTCTACTTAGCTAGTTTTGTTTTGGAGATACCATATTGGGATAATACTTTTATCATGCACATGAATACTTCAAAAGTTATCCAGAACATGGAATTAAAAGAGGTATTTTGGTGTTAAGATTTTAAAATCCATGTCTAATTTTTTCATGATACATATCGTTTATGAAATTTTTGAAGATCCCTCTGAATGGATTTCAAAAAATTTTTACATCAAAACAAACATCATTAATTCTGTTTTCATGAACTTTTAAAAGTGCCCTTATGTGTGTATATAAAATAATTATTACATATACATGGTAATGGTATTCCTGTGAGAGAAAGGGCTGCAAGTTCTGTATGTAAGCTGCTAGAATGTGAATTCTGCCTTATGTTCTCTTTTTTTTTTTTTTTTTTTTTGCTTTTTTTTTTTTTTTTTTTTGACAGGCAGAGTGGACAGTAAGAGAGAGAGACAGAGAGAAAGGTCTTCCTTTTGCCGTTGGTTCACCCTCCAATGGCCGCCGCGGCCGGCGCGCTGCGGCCGGCGCACCGCGCTGATCCGATGCAGGAGCCAGGAGCCAGGTGCTTTTCCTGGTCTCCCATGGGGTGCAGGGCCCAAGCACCTGGGCCATCCTCCACTGCACTCCCGGGCCACAGCAGAGGGCTGGCCTGGAAGAGGGGCAACCGGGACAGAATCCGGCGCCCCAACCGGGACTAGAACCCGGTGTGCCGGCGCCGCTAGGTGGAGGATTAGCCTAGTGAGCCGCGGCGCCGGCCTTATGTTCTCTTAAAGGCAAGAATATTAATCCAACTTTTGATTGTTAATAGCTCAAGATAGGAAAAGCAAAAGTGCTTGTAGTATATGTGTCTTTTCCTTCATGGGAAAATGAATCAGCTGAAACTTTTTGGTATTTAGAAGTTTGCTTTATAATGACTTGAATTAGATTAATATATTCCTTATGTTGGGAATTAAATTGTTTCTGTTTTGCTTGGAAGTTCACAACACAAAATATATAAATCATATTACTTGTCCTAAGGCCTTAATTTTGCCCATCTTCCTTTCCATCTCAGTTCTTAATATTTTTATGGATTCTGGTTGATCACGTTATTATAGGGTGAAAAATATTGAAAGGAAGTTCATTAGTTTAGCGCTGTATATGCCTCTCAGTATTATTTGGAGATTGTCATATTAATAATCTTATATTTACTAATTCATGTTATATTAAATAGTTCCTGAAGATTACTTTAGAGAGCAACAGAATTATGTGCTTCAGGTCAATGATTTGCTGATCCCTTAATTACCATTTTTAAATTTCAAACTATAACTAGAAAGTATAGGTTGATATTCTAGAAAATTTGGATCCCTGCCAAGGCAACTTGCAAAATTACTTCATTGGCCTGTATTTTCTCTTGCATGCCTTTTAGACATGCAAGAGCATCTATAACTGATTTGTTAATTCATTATGCTGAGATGTATAGTTTTTCTATCAAAAATGTTTTTACTTTAAAAAGGAGTTGTAATTTTAAAAGAAGATTTATTTTAAATAGCAGAATTCACTTACACCATTATAAAATTTTTTTCACTAATTTAATACCTCTGATATGTAGTAGATGATTGATGAATTTTTAGTTCAGAAATATACCTTTTAGTGAAATATTGTATGGAAAATGTACAGTCTTTATGAGAAGACATTGAGAAATGTTAACAGTTTCATAAAATAAAGTTTTGTCTTTGTTGACTAAATCTGCAACCCAGTTTTTAAATTGAGTCTCAGCTTGATGGGAATGTAAAAGAAATTCAAATTTTCTCTTGGAACTTAAAATGCTTTATAATAGATTTTTAAGTTTATTATAAGGAGAAGATAATTCTTACAATATTTTACAGTTAAAACAGAGAAGAAGACGGTACAATTTAGTGATGACGTTCAGGTAGAGACAATAGAGCCAGAGCCGGAACCAGCCTTTATTGATGAAGTAAGTGATTTCATGGCAATAGGTAACATTGGTAATTTGTATTGAAGTACTTTTGTCTTCTTTTAAAAGAAATTGATTACTTGGGTACTCTTGATTTTTTTCATGTAAAAATTCAAACAGTACAGATAAAGCAGATTGTTTGAGACACTTCCTTTGCAGACCAGTACCCTGTCAGTACCTCATTTTTAATTCCTGCTTAATATTTTATGGAATAAGTTTATGGTGATTTTTAAAATTATTCTATTGTTGGACACTTCAGCTTGTTTCCAGTTTCTGTTGTTAAAAACAGCATTGTAGTGAGACTTTTTCTTTTATCTTCCTTTTTTTAACATTTGTTTTTGTATTTCTTTAGATAGATATCTGGGAGTCAGACAGCCAAGTTGAAGGATTTGTGTGTTTCTGTATTAATAGATACTGCGAACTTGTACATCACAATGCAATTCTATACTTCTTTTGATAATCATGAGGGTACCTATTTTCTATGTACTCAGCATATTAAAGCTGTTGCCCATGGGAAGCAGGACACACAGCAGACATATAGAATGAAAAATACCTTAAACAGCACTCTGGCCTCAGAATCAGCCCGTAAGGCATTCGGATCTGGCTAAAAGGCCCAGGAGAGCATTTTAGGCATGGAAAGCCAAGACACTGTGGCAAAAATGACCTAAGTGAAAGATCTCTGTGAGTGAGATCCCAGTGGAAAGAAGGAGCCATCAAAGAAGGAGGTACCTTTCTCTGAAGGGAGGAGAGAACTTCCACTTTGATTATGGCCTTGTCTAAATAAGGTCAGAGTTGGTGAACTCAAGGGGCTTCCATAGCTTTGGCATCTAATGATAAGAGCCTAGGGTGATCACTGACATCATAAATAAGAGTGTCAATTGTTAAATCAACAACAGGAGTCACTGTGCACTTGCTCCCCATGTCCTTAATGTGTTGTATTATGAGAATTAATGGTAAAACTAATCTTCAAACAGTACTTTATACTTTGTGTGTGTGTGTGGGTGCAAACTGTTGAAATCATTACTCAGTATAGAGTTGATCTTCTGTATATAAAGGTAATTAAAAATGCATCTTAATGAAGAATGGGATGGGAGAGGGAGTAAGAGGTAGGATGGTTTATAAATAAATAAGTAAATGGGGGTGAGAGGCAGGTATGGGTAGAAGAATCACTATAATCCAAAAGTTGTACTTCTGAAATTTATATTTATTAAATAAAAGCCTTCTATAAAAAAAAGCTATTGGCACATTACTGAGGAAAGAACACTTCATTGACTATCTCTTGAATGAATAAAACAAGTTACTCTTTGTAAAAATTAAACTACCATTTAGTTACTTCTGTACAAATCATTTTATAAAAGCATTGCTAAGATATTGAGTATCATTGGAGATAATTCATATCCCTTCTTGGCTTTAACACAGCCCGACATTTGGAAGAATTATGCTAACTTCACGTTAAATGTCTTCATATGTCATTGTCATATGTGCAACAACAACATATAGATTGAATGATTATGTTTGAAAATATGGGTTCAACTTGATCATAATTCAAATCACAGTTTTTTGGAGCCAGATGGTAGAACCTAAACTCAGGATTTAAATTTGATATTTTCTTGATTCAAGTTAATTCCTCGTGTTTGCTTACGATTTATAGAAGTCTCTGCTGTTATTACATACAAGGAAAGTGAAGATTAAAACTGGTTACCTTTATTTATTTTTAAGCAAGTTTGTGGCTGTCTTTTTCTGCTAAAATTAATATTATAGTTTTCTTTGAATAACAATATTAAGTTATAACTGTTAAGTTAATGGAACTAGCAAGGCCATACAGGATTTTCCTAGTGTCACATTGTATAGATCAAAGATTGGCAAACTGTCACCTGTAGGCTCATTTGCTTGGTTTGTAAATACAGTTGTTGTTTAAAGATTTATTTATTTATTTATTTGAAAGAATTGGAAAGATCTTCCATCTACTGTTTCACTGCCTAAATGTCTGCAGTGGCTGGAGGTGGGCCAGGCTGAAGCCAGGAACTTCTGGGTCTCTCACGTTGGTGCAGGGGCCCAAGCTCTCAGGCACAAGCTTTTGTGCCATCCTGCATTACCTTCTCAGGCATGTGCCAGCAGGGGAGTTGTGTTGGAAATGGAGCAGTTGGGGGAACCAGTGCCCATTTGGGTTGCTGGAGCTGAAGACAGTGACTTAACCCACTATACCAAATTCCCAGCCCCTGTAATGCAATAAATACAGTTTATTGGAACACAGCCACATTTGTTTACATGTTTTCTGATTGAATAGCAGCAACATAGATCTTGTAGCGCACAAAGCCTAAAATGGCTGTTTGGCTCTCAATAAGTTTGCTTGATCTGGTGTGGATCATTTTAAGAGAATTTTTTCAGATTTTCATTTTTCTGTGTGTGTTCTTTCCTAAAATTAATTTGCCTGAGAACCCTCCCTGCCACCATTTGACATTTCCTTTTTCTCCTCCCTTTTTTATAATCCCCATCTCCCACTTTACAGAAGAAAGGTTTACCTCTTGTCCATATTGGCTCTCACTATGGTACATTGCCCCAGAATATAAAAGTTTCCTTGGACAATTCCATATATTGATGTTGGTATTGAAAAAGTGACAACTGTACTGATTAATAAAGTTGATGGTTTCATATAGATATACATATTTAAAGATTTATTTATTTATTTGAAAGGCAGAGAGTTACAGAGAGGGAGGGAGGGGGAGAGAGAGAGAGGTCTTCCATTCATTGGTTCATTCCCCAGATGACCACAACGGCTGGAGCTACAGTGATCCGAGGCCAGGAGCCAGGATCATCTTCCGAATCTCCCATGCAGGTGCAGAGGCCCAAGTTGGGCCTTCCTCTACTGCCTTCCCAGGCCATAGCAGAGAGCTGGATTGGAAGTGGAGCAGCTGGGACCCGAACCGGCGCCCATATGGGATGCCAGCACTGCAGGCAGAGGCTTTACCTGCTACACCACAACGCTAGCCCCAAGATGGTTTCATATATTTTCCTATCAAAAATGGGAGGACTAAAATGAATTGTCAGCTAGCAGGTGACAGTATTTTTTTATGAAAGACCATTGTGATGCCTAACCTAAAACTCAGAATATATTCAAAGATTCTATATAAGCCAGTTTTATTATCACCTTCAAGTATAAAAACAATAAGTAGGAATAGATGCTGAAGCATTGCTTATTTTTCAGAACTTGAAATTTAGTTCTGTTGTTTTGATCCATTATATAACATTAATCATTAGCTCACAAGGATGAATTTATTTAACACTTAGATCATTATCATCAGTGCATATACATATTTTTGTTTCAAAGAGATTTGATATGACCATCAACAGAAGATGTTTTTTCTTTCTTTCTTTCTTTTTTTTTTTTTTTTTTTTTTTTTTTTTTTTTTTGGACAGGCAGAGTTAGAGAGAGATACAGAGAGAAAGGTCTTCCTTTTCCGTTGGTTAACCCCCGAAATGGCTGCGATGGCTGGCGCATTGTGGCCTGGCGCACTGCGCCAGTCCAAAGCCAGGAGCCAGGTGCTTCTCCTGGTCTCCCATGTGGTTGCAGGGCCCAAAGATTTGGGCCATCCTCCACTGCCTTCCCGGGCCACAGCAGAGAGCTGGCCTGGAAGAGGAGCAACTGGGACAGAATCCGGCACCCCAACTGGTCTAGAACCTGGGTTGCTGGTGCCACAGGCGGAGGATTAGCCAAATGAGCCGTGGCGCCGGCCCGAAGATTTTTTTTTTAAAGATTTTATTTATTTTAGAGGTAGAGTTATAGGGAGGGACAGAGAGAAAGGTCTTTCATCTGCTGGTTCACTCCCCAAACGACCACAACTACTGGAGCTGGGCTGATCCATTGCCAGGAGTCAGGAGCTTCAAGCACCTGGGCCATCTTCCACTGCTTTCCCAGGCCATAAGCAGAGAGCTGGATCAGAAGAGGAGCAGCCAGGACACAAACTGGCACCCATACGCAATGCAGATGCTATAGGTGGAGTCAACCTACTAAGCCACAGCATAGTACCAGTGCCCACATAGGGATGTCAGCATTGCAGGTGATGGACTTAACCCACTGCACCATAACGCTGGACCCTGGATATATTTTTATTGTATTTTTTATTTTATGCTGTCAGTTTTAAAATACAGAAGTCTTTTACTTGGGAAAAGTTTTTCGTATACTTGTGTCATCACTAAAATATTTAATTTATTTCCCAAACTCCTTTACTTCACAAAACAGCTTTTTGTTTTTGTTTTTGTTACACATAATTACTTTGGTTAGAGTTTAGTCTTTGAATTGTTTCCCCCATGTACCAATGTATAATACCAATCCTAGAAAAACCAGTTGCAGAGAGAGATTTGTAACTATTTTAGTAGCATCTTTAGTATATTTACTTTGGTTTTTAAAAATGCATATAAATATGTGTGTCCTTATGTAATGGGTATATTTATGATTGTTTCATTAGTTTCATTGCTCCATATACAGAAGATTCTGGAATAGATTCGAGGCATTGATTTAAGATGCTTTCCAGCCTTTCCCAAATGGGATAGAGAAACCATGAGTCTTCCTCTTCCATAATATGACAATCTGAAATGCTGGCAGAAAGTAAACATAGAATAGATCCTTAGAGCCCTGCTTAGAAGAACAGCTGTATTATATCTGAGCTCTGCCTTACTGAAGCAGCTGCTGGATTCACTGTGAGGGAGAAGTAGTAATGACTAAGCTGTTAGTCATGCATTGCCATTTTGAAAGGGATGTTACACCTGTTGCTTGACTAAGCTACAGCTGCTCTAAAACAAAGTGAAATCCTTTAGCATGACATGAGATTGAAGAACTCACGTGTTATTTCTTTAAATGTGGCTCTGTAATCTCTATGAGTAGTTTTAGAATACATAGAAAGAACTTTTAAGATTTTGACTTTACATGATATTAGAGAGGACACATGGGATGCTAAAAACATCAGAGGAAAATTAAAGTCTTCATAACTATGAATTGTACAAGTTCTATCCATTTAACAAAGTGAGATCATAATGTTGGATGTAGTTGCTTTTTATAGTAACTACTTATTTCTTGTAGGATAAAATGGATCAGTTGCTACAGATGTTGCAAAGTACAGATCCCAGTGATGATCAGCCAGATCTTCCAGAGCTGCTTCATCTGGAAGGTAAACCTGATTTTCCTTTTACCTTGCAAGTAAAGAATAATTAGAAGTTAAATTAGTGTTCTCTTAACAAGATCCTTTTTGAGAATGATACTGAAAATATAACTTTTCTCATTTTTTCTTGGGTCAGTCTCACTTTCATATGTTGTTTAAACCCTGGGTGGAGTTTGAATTCTTACACATAAATTAGTCTACTCAACACTTTAGACTTTTATAAAGTGAAATTTTCTTTAAATTTTGAAATCAGTGTTTTAGATTAAGTTGTCACTATTGTGCTTTAATACAATTTTGGGTTCTGTGTTATGATTTTTCTTACTATAGGTTAGATCTTTTATTCTGTAAGTTATATGACTATCAGAAGTTCACTTTTGTTATGCTTTCTTATATTTCTTCAATCTTCTTATCTTAGCAATGTGTCACCAGATGGGACCTCTCATTGATGAAAAGCTAGAAGATATTGATAGGTAAAACGTGTTATATCTATATTTTATATATTCTTACCTGAAGCTATCTCTATAAACTGGAAAGTGAGTTACATGTGCCTTTCAAAAGAGAAATTCCAAAGGAACCAATTCACATGCTCTTATTTTTCATCTAGATTGGAAAATTAGACTTTTCTTTTTCTTTTTTTTTTCTTAAGTGAGGATTTAATTGACTTTTTACCATGTTAGTTTTTTGTTTGTTTGTTTGTTTGACAGGCAGAGTGGACAGTGAGAGAGAGAGAGACAGAGAGAAAGGTCTTCCTTTACTGTTGGTTTACCCTCCAGTGGCCGCCGAGGCCGGCGCGCTGTGGCTGGCACACCGCGCTGATCCGATGGCAGGAGCCAGGTACTTATCCTGGTCTCCTCCCATGGGGTGCAGGGCCCAAGCACTTGGGCCATCCTCCACTGCACTCCTGGACACAGCAGAGAGCTGGCCTGGAAGAGGGGCAACCGGGACAGAATCCGGAGCCCCGACCGGGACTAGAACCCAGTGTGCCGGCGCCGCAAGATGGAGGATTAGCCTAGTGAGCCGCGGCGCCAGCCACCATGTTAGTTTTTTAAAAATGAGGCTTAACTAGTGATACTTGCTTTGCTAAAGTGACATTATCATGGCCCATAAATCGCCCATCTGTTAATAGCTAGGGAAACTTAGGTATTGCAGGGTATAATCAAGTACAGTGAGCTGGAATTCTCCCAGCATAGTACCTAAATCTTGAACAGTTTGGGTTGCTTTAGAGCTAAAATACAGGATATTTCTGTCACAGGTTAAATTTTTAATAATATTTGTCAGTTCTACTTTTTGTTATTTTGATTTTCATTATTTAGAACATAGGAGTTAAGTAACAACTTTGTTTCATATTATCATTTAATATTTTAGAAAACATTCAGAACTCTCAGAACTTAATGTTAAAGTGATGGAGGCACTTTCATTGTATACCAAGTTAATGAATGAAGATCCGATGTATTCTATGTATGCAAAATTACAGAATCAGCAGTATTATATGCAGTCATCTGGTGTTTCTGCTTCTCAGGTAAGCTTTTAAAAACTTAAGTGTATTTTAAATTCTAAAATGTATTTGAAATAGATTTGTTTTTGTAAATGTCAAGCATTCTTTTTTAATAGAAAACGTTTATTTAATAAATATAAATTTCAGAAGTACAACTTTTGGATTATAGCGTTTCTTCCCCCCATAAGCACCCTCCCACCCACAAACTATCCCATCTCCTATTCCCTCTCCCATCCCATTCTTCATTAAGATGCATTTTTAATTACCTTTATATACAGAAGATCAACTCTATACTGAGTAATGATTTCAACAGTTTGCACCCACACACACACACAAAGTATAAAGTACTGTTTGAAGATTAGTTTTACCATTAATTCTCATAATACAACACATTAAGGACATGGGGAGCAAGTGCACAGTGACTCCTGTTGTTGATTTAACAATTGACACTCTTATTTATGATGTCAGTGATCACCCTAGGCTCTTATCATTAGATGCCAAAGCTATGGAAGCCCCTTGAGTTCACCAACTCTGACCTTATTTAGACAAGGCCATAATCAAAGTGGAAGTTCTCTCCTCCCTTCAGAGAAAGATACCTCCTTCTTTGATGGCTCCTTCTTTCCACTGGGATCTTACTCACAGAGATCTTTCACTTAGGTCATTTTTGCCACAGTGTCTTGACTTTCCATGCCTGAGAAATTCTCATGGGCTTCTCAGCCAGATCCGAAATTTGGAGGTTCCTCAGAAACCTGAATATAGCCCTACTACACGACCCAGCCACCCTACTCCTCGGAATTTACCCAAGGGAAATTAAATTGGCAAATAAAAGAGCTATCTGCACCTCAATGTTTATTGCAGCTCAATTCACAATAGCTAAGATATGGAATCAACCTAAATGCCCATCAATAGAAGACTGGATAAAGAAATTATGGGATATGTACTCTGTAGAATACTATGCAGCAGTAAAAAACAATGAAAGCCGGTCATTTGCAACAAAATGGAGGAATCTGGAAAACATCGTGCTGAGTGAAATAAGCCAGTCCCAAAGGGACAAATATCATATGTTCTCCCTGATCTGTGACAACTGAGTACCTAAAAGGAAACCTGTAGAAGTGAAACTGACACCATGAGAAGCAATGATTGATCAGCCCTTGTCCTGACTGTTGAGGAACAACTTACTATTTTATTCTTTTTAGTATTTTCTTTTTCTACTTAATACCATTGGTTGAACTCATTAATTAACACAGAATTATTCTTAGGTGTTTAAACCCAACTGAAAATTGATCCCTGTAAAGAGTGGGAATAAGAGAGGGAGGAGATGTATAGTTGGGCACATGTTCCCTCGGACTTAACCCTAAGGGTAAAGCTAAAAACTTGCCATGGGACTTCAAATCCCATTAAGTTGGCAGGAACCAATGCCACCTTACTAGTTAAAGTGATCCGTGTAAATGTCAAATGTTCTGAAACTAATGTGTAGAAAAGTTTAGAAAAAATTTTTAACTTGATGAATACAATGTAAAATATGCTAAATATACCAATACTTTTTTTTTTTTTTTTTTACAGTTTTTGTATAAGGATGGACTTAACAATATAATCACCCGTCAGGCTTTAAAACAAAAAAAGCAGATGTGGTCTACAGCTTTTGATTGTATAGTGAGCCACTTGTGCTGAATATTCTTTTTTTTTTTTTTTAAGATTTATTTATTTATTTATTTATTTATTCAAAAGCCAGAGTTACAGAGAGGCAGAGACAGAGAAAGAGGTCTTCTATCTGCTGGTTCACTCCCCAAATGTCTGCAGTGGCCGGAACTGGGCTGATCTGAAGCTAGGAGCCAGGAACTACTTTCAGGTCTCCCATGCAGTTGCAGAGGCTCAAGGCTTTGGGTCATCGTCTACTGCTTTCCCAGGCTGTAGTGGAGAGCTGGATTGGAAGTGGAACAACTGGGATTTGAACGGTGCCCATACAGTATTCTGGCGCTGCAGGTGGCAGCTTTACCAGATATGCCACAGCACCAGCCCTGCTGAGTATGCTTAACACATACAGTATATGATAGATTATGGTGATGGTTCCATGGAAATATACATATCTCCAAAGTTGCCAAGTTGTATACACTAAATATATATCACCTTTTTTATGTCAGTCTGTCTCGGTAGTTTTTGAAAAAATACAAAATGTGGTACTTTCAGAGCTAGAAAGTCTTAAATTTATTGAAGTTCTAATTTAGTGGGGAAAAAAGAAATGGAAAAGCTGTTATAAACCAATGAAATGTATATTTTGAATAAACTGCTTTAATCTGGAATTTTTCCCTCTGTTTTATATGAGAGCATGTGTGATGCAGCATAGGGACCTTTTCCTTCTTTTCACACCAAACAGCTTGTTTTAAGAATAACTTTCCCATAAACTCAGCAAGTTCCAAGCATAAGGAATAATTAGCCAGGTACCCCATTTTATCTGTGTAGAGTAAACAAACTTTTTCAGATTCATCTTTTTGCATGATTATTTCCCCTGAAATGAAGGAGCCAGCAACCTCAAGATAAACAGCCATGCTGGAGAAACCTGGGGCTAGATAATACCTTTCTAAAGGGATCCTGAACATCAGTTTGAGTTAGGTTTAGTTTGCAAAAAACAATGAAGTACAGTTGTGAGAACTTCTGTGGCCTTGTTTATAATGGAGACCTTTTGGATTCTGATATATGGTGAATCTTTTATGATTCATGGAAGTACCAAGTGAATATTGTTTTTGTCTTTTGGTAGTTGCTTTACTGTCTTAACATAGGGTAGCATTCCTACTACATAGACGATGGAAGTTCTGTTTTCAGACATATGAAATGGAAGAATCTAATGAACACTGTAAAAAAGAACATTATATGTTTAAGACTTTGGATATTTAAGGTGGGTGGGCATTTGGCTTAGCAGTTAAGATGCTGCTTGAGATGCCCACTTCCCATACCCATAATGGAGTACCTGGGTTCAAATTCCATCCCTGCTCCCAGTTCCAGTTTCCAGCTGATGTACACCTTGGGAGGCAGCAGGTGATGGCTCAAGTACTTGAGTCCCTGCTACCCACATGAGAGATCTGTTTGGAGTTTCCAGCTCATAGCGTTAACCTGGCCAGCCTCAGGTGCAGACATTTGAGGAGAAATGAACTAGGAGATGGGAGGTAATTCATATTTTGTATTTCTCTTTTTTTCAAGTACAATAAGTACATTTTAAAAAAGACTTCCGTCTCAGATTTAAAAAAATACATTTTTTCGATGCAGGAGTAGAAAGACAGACCCAGCCTATTGCCTGTTTTTTTCTAAATAAATTTTTACTGTAATGCAGCTACCATCAATCAATCATATCTGCATTGTCTGTGGCTGCTTTCTGTACTGGCAAAGTTGAGTAGTTGTGACAGAGAACATATAACTCCTAAAGCCTATTAAATATATCTGGCCCTTTACAAAGAAAAAAAATTTATTGATCCTTGATTTAGAAAGCTTGACCTATATTCAATAAATTCTGATTTAGAAAATGTAAATTACAGATACAATACAACAGTGAAGTCAAATATACTTCCTCATTATCTTTTGAAAACTTTTAAAGTGTTAATGTGGAAAATATTAAATACATTCAGTAAAAAGAAAGGTTATATTAGTATAATGTTTTAGGGTAAGTTGCTTTAATGCTTTTGTATGGAGATAAATGAATTTAAAACAATCATCAACTGGTAGTTTCATGGAAAAGCTTTTTATATATGCTTATGGGCAGAATTAACTTTTATAAAAATTACAGAGAAGCAATTTATTTTGAAGATTTTATTTATTTATTTATTTGAAAGATTTACACAGAGAAGGAGAGGCAGAGAGAGAGAGAGAGAGAGAGAGGTCTTCCATCAGCTGGCTTACTCCCCAGTTGGCTGCAACAGCTGGAGCTGCACTGATACAAAGCCAGGAGCTTCTTCCTGATCTCCCATGCTGGTGCAGGGGCCCAAGGACTTGGGCCATCTTTCACTGCTTTCTCAGCCCATAGCAGAGAGCTGGATTGGAAGTGGAGCAGGTGGGACTGAACTGGTGCCCATATGAGATGCCGGCACCGCAGGCAGTGGCTTTACCTGCTATGCCACAGCACCGGCCCCAGAGAAGCAGTTTTTGTCCTTGTAACTGAATGCCTCTAAAAAGAAAGATTGGTTTGCCTGTTGAAATTTTGGAATCGAGTATGTTTCTCATTGATTGTTGCAGGTATATCCAGGGCCTCCACAGAGTGGTGCTTACCTGGTTGCAGGGAATGCACAGATGAGCCATCTTCAGAGCTACAGCCTTCCCCCCGAGCAACTGTCTTCTCTCAGCCAAGGAGCGGTTCCACCATCTGCAAACCCAGCCCTTCCTGGTCAGCAGACCCACGCTGCTTACCCGAAGTAATTTGATTATTAATTATTGTTTGGAGTTAATTCTGATAAAACTCTTTAAGTTCTCCAGTCATTTGTAACCATAGATCTGGAAGAGAAAAATCTGGGGTAGATGTTGTCACTGTTGCCACATGGTCAGCCTCAGTAGTAATGATTACTGAGTTATACAGGGTTATATGGGGTGTTACAAAACCAGCCCCAAGCCTGTCCTCTGTTTTACTGAATCACTCCTATCTTTTGGTAGTAGTTCTGTATTTCTTATACTCCTAAACGTTTTATTTGTTTTTATTTAAGTCAATGATATTATTTGAAAATATCTTTAATGAAACTTAAGTTTGGTAGCTAAACTATGATTTTCCCACAAATTTGATATAAACTCTGAATTTTGTTATTGTTTTGTTAGAGTATATACACTGGGCTATCTGTTTAATGCAAATACTTCCTTATTTTTACCTATATTCAAATTTAATTTGTATTACAGTAAGGTACAACATTGAAAGAGGAGGTACGTGAAGCTGTCTGCCCTGAGATTCAGGAGGCACATAGCTGAGTATGAAAGGACAGACACTAGTTATTTTTGGTATTTACTTATAATGGTCTCTAATGTGTAGTTAAATGATAATTGATTATATAAATGTCTTTTCTGCTTTAATGGGAATCTAAGCTTAAGTCTTTACTTTGGAGTGAATAAAAGGTAGATTTTAATAAGAGTTCACCAGCTATTTTTTTTGTTTGTTTTGAAGATTTATTTATTTGAGAGGTAGAATTAGAGCAGAGGGAATGATCTTCTCTCTGCTGGTTACTCTGCAAATGGTTGCAGTATCTAGAGCTGGGCTGACCTGAAGCCAGGAGCCAGGAGCTTCCTCTGTGTCTCCTATACAGGTGCAGGGCCCAGGCAGTTGGGCCATCTTCTATTGTTTTCCCAGGCCATAGCAGAAAGCTGGATTGGGAGAAGAGCAGCAGGGACACAAACTGGTGCCCATGGGAAGCTGGCACTGCAGACGAAGGCTTAGCCTGCTACGCTACAATGCTGCCCCCAGCATGTATTTTAGAAGTCATGATATTCTTTTTTTTTTTTTCTTTCTAAAGATTTATTTATTTATTTGAAAGTCAGAGTTACACAGAGAAGAAAAGGGAGAGAGAGAGGTTTTCCATCCACTGGTTCATTCTCCAATTGGCCGCAAAGGCCGGAGCTATACCGATCCAAAGCCAGGAGCCAGGAGCTTCTTCTGGGTCTCCCACATAGGTTCAGGGGCCCAAGGACTTGGGCCATCTTCCATTGTTTTCCCAGGTCATAGCGGAGAGCTGGATCAGAAGTGGCCCAGCCGGGACTCAAATTGGCGCCCATATGGGTTGCCCGCATTACAGGCTGCGGCTTTACCGGCTACACCATAGCGCTGGCCCCAGAAGTCATGATATTCTGATTCACAACACGAGTTTGTAGGTGGCACAGTTTCTAGGAACCTTTCCATCAGTGGCCCACAAATGCTCCTGTCTATCTCCACTATTATTGTTCATCCTCAAAGAATTACATGTTCTAGATGGTTGGGGTTTTTTCAAGCATTATTCTGTTGTCACATGGAATATTCTGAGGTGACCTTAAGAAGCAGAGTAATAGGGAGGCTTAGTAACATTTATGGGATATTGAGTATGTGCCAGGCTCTGTGGTATATGCTTTGCATGTATTAACTCATTTAGTCCTCAAATAACCCATGAAGTAGGAAGATAACACTTCAAGGTACTTCAAAAAGTTTGTGGAAAGTTGAATAAAAATATAAGTTTACTTTGGTACAAAAAATTTGTAATTCATGCATAGTTTTTTCATTATATACATTTTTCATCATATGCTTAGATCAAAATTTTTTTTGTGCCAAAATTTATTTTTTAATTTCATTTGTGATGAACTTGTTGAAGTACTCTCTTACTATCTCTGTTTTATAGATGGTAAAACTGAGATCTGGAGAGAAGTATAAAGTCCTCCTCCTTTAGCCAAGATTCAAACCTAGGCATTCTGGTTCCAGTTCTTAGCACAGTCTGTAACATTATTATAGCAGTACACTGGCCAATACTGATGCAAGTAACAGCATGAAATTTGACTATGTTTAATACAAGTTTAAATCTCAAAATGCAACCCATATAGAATAGTAACGGGCGATGCCATAGAGCATAGTGCCTGTCACGTATTAAATAAATGTTATCAATTACTGTAATAATTCTCACTTATACTTTATTTTTTAAATAAGATTTATTTATTTATTTGAAAGGCAGAGCTACAGAGAGGGAGAAGCAGAGGCAGAGAGAGAGAAATCTTCCATCCACTGGTTCACTCCCCAAATGGCTGCAATAGCCAGGACTGGGCCAGGCCTAAGCCAGGAGCTTTATTCTGGTCTCCCACGTGGGTGCAGGAGGCTAACCACTTGGGCCATCTTCTACTGCCTTCCCAGCACATTGGCAGGGAGCTTGATCAGAAGTGGAGCAGCAAGGACTCCAGTCAGTGCTCGTATGAGATGTGGGTGCTACAGGCGGCAGTTCAACCCGCTGCATTACAGGCTAGCCCATATACTTTATTCTTTATCTCAGTTTGCAGTTTCACCATCCACCCAGTTGCTTGGGAGGGACAGAACCCTGTCTTCACTCATTATTTCTTTCCTTTATCTCTACTCTGCATTATCTTCCTACCATGACACCCAACGTGCAATTATTTACTAATCTCCTAAATAACTCTTCTCCATTGATATTGTACTGTACAGTTAAGCACTCATCATTTCTTGCCTAATACATGTTGTCTCCTGGTTTCTAATCTTGTCCCTATGAATTAATCTATGCTGTTGCCAATAAGGCTCCTGTGGGCTTTCTCATTATCCTTCAGATAGGACCCAAGCTCCTTAACATGCTATTTAGGGCCATTCATTATTCAGTCCTTATCAGTATCTCCAAGTATCTCTCTAGCTACTCCCACCACATACTTTAAGTGACATACTTTTAGTTATAGTGTACTGTTGGCAGTTCCCAACACGGACCATGCCTTTTATACCTCCCACTTTTGCTCATGCTGTCAATGCCATGTCATATTACACTAGCGTATTGTTGTTCATGATAGAACATCTTTCTTTATTTATATATATATATATTTTAATTTATTTGACAGAGTTATAGACAGTGAGAGAGAGACAGAGAGAAAGGTCTTCCTTCCGTTGGTTCACTCCCCAAATGGCCACCACGGCCTGTGCTGTGCCGATCCGAAGCCAGAAGCCAGGTGCTTCTTGCTGTTCTCCCATGCCGGTGTAGGGGACCAAGCACTTGGGCCATCCTCCACTGCCCTCCCAGGCCACAGTAGAGAGCTGGACTGGAAGAGGAGCAACAGGGACTAGAACCTGCGCCCCAACCGGGACTAGAACCCGGCATCCATTTGGGATGCCAGTGCCACAGGCAAAGGATCAACCAAGTGAGCTATGGCGCCAACCCTGATAGAATATTTCTTACTGTCTTGTCTCTCAGCTTAGAACAACATAGTGTGAGTGTATTTCTTTATAAAACTTCCTTAAACCCTGAGGCTCCTCAAGCACCTAGTATTTATCTTTATTTGTTATTAATTTATGCTATAATAAATTGTATGTATTTTTATATGTTTGCCCGTACTGGTCAGTAAGCTTCTTGAAACCAAGAAACTAAATCCTACTTGTATGTCATGTGATTAGCATAGTGTCTGGCCTATACTAAATAGTCAGTAAATATCAGTTTTGGAAGTAAACTGAAATCATAGACAAAGAAGTACATAAGCTTTGGTGGTCTTATAACACTGTCGCTTTCCACTTATTTATTGCCTTATAAACTCCTATCACTACAGATAACTTTTGGAGACTACATCAGTTCCCACCTTCTTTCCCAGTTAACAATAAGATGGTCCAGGGATGACAGAGGTCTGAAAAAGTGTTAACTGTAAAACCAAAATTAGGTGTAAAAGGGTAAGAAATAGGCTTCCGGCTGAGGAGGAACTAAATTGCACTAAAAAAACCTGCCTATCAAAAATAACAGAAATCTTCCTTGACCTTGATTGTAACCAGTACAAATACGCAGTACATTTCTGGCAGATCTTTGTTCCTTCCCTTTTCCTTATCTTGCATTTGCTATGCCAGCAGTTTCCTCATTTTCCCATTTAAGCACAACTTTGTTTCTGTATATTTATAAACATCCATATGTGTGATAAATATGTGGAGAGAGAATATTTATGTATGGATTCTTAAATTGCTCCAAAGCTTTTGTGAATTCCTTGCAAGAAATGTGAAGCTACATATGAAATTGTCATTACCAACACTTAAAGGTTTGTTTATCAAATATTTCTTGAGTTCCTATCTGATATAAAACTGCTTCACAGTGTGCTGTACAGGTGAAAGACACCCAATTTCAGCTTTCAGGATATTATCGTTTAGTGAAGACACAGACAAGTAAAAAATCAGTTACCAGAGAGTATGTAGTGACAAGAGTGCATGCAGGTGCTCTAATAGCGCACAGGAGGATCGAGCAGTGCTGGAGTAATCAAACAGTGCTGGAGAGATGTGAAAGCAAGAAGGGCATCTTAGTGAAAATTAAACCAAGAACTAGAGAAAAGCAGGTATGAGCCAGGCCAAGAGAGCTAAATATTTCCAGGGCGTTCTCTAAAAAAGTATGTGTTGAAATGAACATGTGTTCCTTGAGAGGCGATGTTAAGGTATACTGTGTCAGTGGCATCAGGTCACACACCGTGATTTCACAAATGATGATTTGTCACACACCGTGATTTCACAAATGGATGTAGATAGAGATCCGAATGGATGTCTGTACACATGGTTGATAAATATGGTGAGGTATAAGGAAGGCCTCGTCGGCGCCGCGGCTCACTAGCTAATCCTCCACGCCTTGCGGCGCCGGCACACCAGGTTCTAGTCCTGGTCAGGGCTCCGGATTCTGTCCCGGTTGCCCCTCTTCCAGGCCAGCTCTCTGCTGTGGCCTGGGAGTGCAGTGGAGGATGGCCCAGGTACCTGGGCCCTGCACCCCATGGGAGACCAGGATAAGTACCTGGCTCCTGCCATCGGATCAGCGCGGTGCGTCGGCCGCAGCAACCATTGGAGGGTGAACCAACGGCAAAGGAAGACCTTTCTCTCTCTCTCTCTCACTGTCCACTCTGCCTGTCAAAAAATAAAAAAATAAAATAAGGAAGGCCCCTTTTTTTTCAGGGAAATAGAGTTGAGGTATCAGGCTTTCGTCGTCACTAGTCTCAGCATTGTTCCTTATCATGGGTATGGGTATTTCCCTGTTGGCAGCTCCTGTGGCTCTCAATTCTCCTAATCCATTTGACAGTTCATCATTTCTTCCTTTTTTTGGAAATACTTTGTTCACGTCACAGAATTATAAATTTTCTTTTCCTTCTTGATCTCCTTTGCCTAGTGCCTCTTTATCCCTTCCTGACTTTAAAATCTAGGGCTCGGTATATTGACCGCTTATTTCTGTTTGCAGTCACTCTCTAGGGATCTCATATAGCCACATGAATTTGGACACCATGTGCCTATATATGCCGATGACTCTCAAATGTATATTTCTATTCCTAACTTCCTCCCTGGATTTGCCTCTACTTGAATAGCTGACTACCTATGCATTGTCTTTTCTTGGTTACATCCTATACATCTAAAATCTTTCTCTGTTTGATCTTCACCCCCATCCCATTCTCCATCTGCTGTGAAGTCTTATCAATAGTCTTCTCCATTTACGTGAATGGCCTCTCTCCCGGTCATTTATTTATTTATTTATTTTAAACATTTATTTATTTATTTGTAGGGCAGAGTTACAGAGAGAGAGAAGGAAAGACAGAGAGATCTTCTATTCCCTGGTTCATTCCCCAAATGGCCAGACCAATGCCAGGAGTCAGGAGCTCCTTCTGGGTGTCCCACATGGATGCAGGGGCCCAGGGACTTGGGCCGTCTTCCATTGCTTTCTCAGGCGCATTAGCAGAGAGCTGGATTGGAAGTGGAACAGCCAGGGCAGTAACCAGTGTTCATATGGGATGCCAGCACTGTAAACCCTGTCTTAAGCGGCTGCCACAGTTCAGCCCCTACCAGTTATTTTAACCAGTTGTTTGGTTTTAAAACCTTTGGCATTCTTGTCTGGTTTGTTCAGTAGCAAATTTTGATGGCACTGTCTTCAAACTGTATCTAGAATCTGACCCTCCTCTCCCAGCTCCGTGGCTGTGGCCAGCTTTCAGCTGTCACCAAGATTATAATAGCCTCATCTTTGCTATGTCTATATTTCAGAGTGAGCCTGTTGATATCTGAATCGAATCACATCATCCTTCTGCTCAAAACCAACCAATGTCTTTCCTCTCATTCACAGGCTAAGCCAGAATCCTTACGGCCTTCTAAGGCACTCTATTCTAAGGCCTCCTTTCCCACCTTAATTCAGCCACTTTATCTTTTGCCAATGTCCCCCTTGCTCATCCTGCTGCAGCCTTTGTGGCCCCTTTGCTGTTCCTTGTTTGTGCTTAGCATTGTCTCTCCTCAGTTTCTTTGTCTTGTCCTGAAATGTGCTTATGCTAGATCATCAGTATGGCTCTTTCCCTCACCTATATCATGTCTTTGCTTAAACATTGCCATATCTGAGGGGCTGGAGCTGTGGTTCACTTGGTTAATACTCCACCTGTGGTGCCGGCATCCCATATGGGCACCGGGTTCTAGTCCCAGTTGCTCCTCTTCCAGTCCAACTCTCTGCTGTGGCCTAGGAGGGCAGTGGAGGATGGCCCAAGTGCTTGGGCCCTGCACCTGCATGGGAGACCAGGAGAAGCACCTGGCTTCTGGCTTCGGATCGGCACAGCACAGGCCGTGGTGGCCATTTGGGGGTGAACCAGCAGAAGGAAGACCTTTCTCTCTGTCTCTCTCTGTGTCTAACTGCCTGTCAAATAAAAAAAAAAAAATTGCCATATCTAAGATGCTTTCTTCTCCATTCTAACCCACACAAGCTAGAATCCTTTGTCCCAGATAATCTTGGTTTTCCCTGCTGTGTCTTGTGTTTCCTATTAACAATTATGACCAACTCATACTAAAATATAAGCTCTATTATGATGACTTATTTTTCTTTATAATATCCCTGAAATTCAATTTTATACATTGTAGATAGTCAACAAAAATTAATTGCATGAATTTAATATGTAAATGAATATTTAGTAGTTAGCTTTCTTGTTAATCTCTAGATGGCTATATATTACTTATCTAATTGAGTATTTTTCTCTTTCTACAGCACAATGGTTAGTTCTGTTCAAGGAAGTACGTATCCCAGCCAGGCTTCGGTATATAGTCCTCCTCCTGCTGCTGCCACTGCTGCTGATGTCACTATGTACCAGAATGCAGGAACTAATTTGTCCCAGGTGCCAAACTATAATTTAACATCATCAACACTGCCTCAGCCAGGAGGCAGCCAGCAGCCACCTCAGCCACAACAACCATATTCTCAGAAGGCTCTGCTATAGGACCTGGTATTCCTCTTTGTGGGAGATATCTGCTAAATGCCGCAGACAATATTAGGAGAGTGATTAATATCTTAAGGTTTGTTTGTCCTCAACTCATAGGAATCTATCTTGATCAGCAAGTTAAAATATTCAAGAAGGTAGGACTCTCTCCAGTTTGCACTGACTTTTTCGAGGTTCTCCTCCCCCTCCCAAGCCCCCAGAGGAATGAAACTACTTACAACATTTAATTCCTTTTATAATACAAAGAATTGATACACGATTATTTGTCTCGTAAAATTACCTGGTCTGCAAAAGGTCAAACTTATAAAAACTGTCTTGGGAAATGTCATGTACATCTATTAATATGTAACTTCATTAGTGCCCATTTGAATCACAGTGGTGATCATGTGAATATATTTAACACTGTTAAATTAATTTGCATTGCTATTTTATTTTAATCATGAACAACTACCATGTTTCATAATGTATTGTGTACATTTTAAATAATTACACTATCCTTTTAAACTGCAAGAGAACAAAGTTGTAGCATATTTACTGAAGACATTATATTGTCCAGATTTCAGGTTCACATTAAGTGGAACCTTCCTTTTACTAATTGTGAGCTAAACAGATGTATATTATGTCTTTCTGTAGCCTCTGCATACCGCTAGCTGTCATCACACCAGTGTACAGTAGCTAAATTTTTGGTATAGTTCTAGCAAATGATAATGTTCCCTTTTAAAGTTTCACATTTTGGCATGATATTTCAGGTTTGTGGGACCATGAGACAAAATTAAGTAGGATGATATTCTTTATATCCTATTTTAAAAGAAATAATGTTGATTTACATTTTCCTAGTTGAAAATAGTAATTAGGTTTCTATGCTGTATACTGTGTTTTTTTGGTGGCAGTTACACCAAAGATAGAGGCAATGGGTAGAAATTTTTAAACTGGAAAGAAAACATGAATTACACTACATTTGTAAAATCACTTGTAATTATTTAGGATATAAGTAAATTCGATTCATCTGTCTTAGCCCACTGCTAGTCTCTTAAAAATGTCTTTAACATATTGTATCTTCATTAAAATGGATATAAGTAGATGTTTCAAAGTAATTTATATTCATGAGTTTGCTTAACAGTTTATTTATTGTTATTTTTCAAACTGGATTTTTGGGCTGCTCTCTGTCTCTCTTTAAAATTATAGTGGAGTTTTTGGTTTCCTAGTTGGGTGTAGGTTTCAATGAATGCTTTTTTTTTATTCCATATGAAAAATAGTTTTCACTGACATTTTAATCTTAATTATTTATAATTTCTCTAATAATGGTAGGTTATAATTGAACACTATCATTTAAGTAGATGAAAATTTGAGTTGAAAAACCATATCTGATGAATTGATTTAACAGGTTTCATACTATAAATGAGAATGTGATTTGTATTTTCTAAGACTGTTGTCAGCAAGTAGCTTGTTTCCTTTTGGACAGATGGCTCCATCTTTGACAAATGCTCTTCCTGGTGTCTCATTTCATAGGTTCAGATTAAGGCACTGCCTTCAACTTAAGAGTTTCACTCTAGTATTGTGTTTTTCTGAATTTAGAAAAATATGTTGCCCTGAAATAGCAATTTTAACATTTGAATTCAAATATCACACTTCAAATATTTTTGGTAAATTATTTTTGATAAACATTGTCAAACAGATTATTATCTTTGTTCCAGTTTGAATATTATGGTTTAACTGATATACTTTCTCCAAGTCATACTCTTTTTCTTTGTCTTTTGATAAACTTCTGTTTACCACTATCATTTCCCCTTTTTAATATCCATCATTCTGTAAAATCAGTGACCTCTTTTCTAATATGCATTTGCCCTATAAAAGCCAAAGAATGGTAAAGTGAAAAAACTAGTTATTATGAAGCATGTATTTTTCTTTACTTGTTAGAGGACTAGGCCTATAAAGATTGAGATGATTAGACTTAATACTGACACTTATTAGTTTGTGCCTTTTACTTACTAAGAATGAAAACAGTAGATGGAAAGTTTTCTGTAAAAATGAAGCCATTTCTTTTCCATCTTTCAAAGACGTGGCAAGAATGGAAATGGGAAAAGGACCTGTTAGGATCACAAGTGTTTCAAGTGTTTTGTTCTGAAATCTGTGTGCTGCACTTACGAGAAATTTTTCATTAGTAGCTGTCCTTACTTTGAAGGAGTATATTTCTTTTATTATTTTCTTTTTATAAAATGAACTAAGTATAATGTAAACTTCTGTGAAGCAAATTTTTCTCAGTTTTTTTTTTTTTTTTTATCTTACCATGTTTGAAATGTGTTTCCATAAAACAGTGACAATTGAATGGAGAAAATTCAATCCATTTACTGTTTAGCATTTGTAGCCTATAGATGTCAAGACCTTTTGATTGTGATAATACATCAGTGTTCTAAACCTACCAGGAGTGACTTGTAATATGTACTTAGTGTGATTTTTACAGTCTTTGCTGGTTCTGTGGTCTTCCTTCAATGTACCCATCCCCCCTACTCAGCTAGGGACCTTATGTGCAGAGGGATTCCCTTCTACATATTAAATATTTCTGTAACTTTGTATTTAAAATGCTTAATAGACCAGTATTATTCTCTTCTGTTAACTACAGCTTTAATACATGACATATGTATAATTGAGCTTGAAAATATCTTTTTTTTTCAGAGCTTCAGTTATATGTAAGAGAAATGACTTCCCTACATGATAAACTGCACAACCATGAAAATTATCAGAATTATTTTCAAATATAAGGTTTATTGGTATAATAGGTCAGATTTTCATCTGTTTAATACACATTAAAAGATCACAATTTTCATTTTCCTCCTGTTACCTTGGTTTATTTATCAGTTGTACTGATATTTATAGTTTACTATTATATCACTTTAAAAATACTTGGTAACAAGACTATAAACTTTTCACTTTTGTATCATTTTCATCTTCTGATTTTTTCTTCTTTTGCTTTTGTTTTTGGTTTACTAGTAGCATTTAGAATAAAGTATATAGGAGAAATGTAACTAAATAGTTTCTCAAAAGCCTTATATTTAGCTGTCTTATTTTGTGGAGATGATAGGATACTGATAAAGTAAGTGGCCCCTTAAATTAAATTAAGTATCCAGTGTTAATAAGCAGTACTTTTCCTAAAATCTTTTTGTGTCATAAATTTTCAGACCTGCAGAAAGATTAATACACTTAAATACTCTTCATCTGGACTTACCAATCATTAACAGTTTGCTACATTTGTGTTAATTCCTTTCATATATTCATGAGCATGTATGTGTGTCTATACACACACACACACACACACACACACACACACACACACACACTGGTGCCCATATGTCTATGTATACATACACATACCCTAAAGACTTATTTATTTGAAAAGCAGAGCATCAGGGTGAGAGAAATCTTCCATCCATCAGTTTGCTCCCTGAAAATGACCTCAACAGCTAGGATTGGGCCAGCTGAAACCAAAAGCCAGAAACTGCATCTGGGTCTCCCACAAGGGTGGCAGGGGTCCAAGCCCTAGGGTCTTCATTGACTGCCTTCCCAGACACATTATCAGGAAGCTGGATCAGAAGCAGAGCAGCCAGGACTTGAACTTGCATGCTGATGTGGGATGCCAGCATTGCATGTTGCAAGCAGCAGCTTAACCCACTGTGCCACCGTATTGGTCCCACATTATACTTTATTGTATGTATAGACAAGTTACAGGCATTGTAAACTGTGCTCCTAAGTGCTTCATCATGCATCTTGTAAGGATAAGGGCAATCTCATACATAAGGTAAACAATTATCACATCTAAGAAAATTAGCAATAAATGTGTAGTACAGTGTGATCAGACATATCCTAAACTGATTATATCTGACTCTTTTTTAAATCCAAATCCATTCCAGAAATATATGCTGCCTTTTTATTGTTAATGTGGATTATTATTCTTGGTATATTTCCCTCCATGGTATTGACTTTTTAAAGACCAATACCAGTTGTTTCATAGTGTCCTGCATTCTGTATTTATTTCTGTGTTTCTTTATGGTATTATTTAACTTTTCTCATTATAGTGACTTTATTATCAGTTATCCCTACAAGAACCATAGTCAGACCCATATGATTATGATTAAAAATAATGAAACTAAATGTTTCATTATTATAGGCTTCTATAATGAAGTGTACATATAAATTGACATTGTTAACTTAAAGTGTCTATTATACTCTGTATAATAGACTATATAACTGAGACCATTGATGCTACCATATAACTCAGTGGTTTTGTGTTCTTTTTCAATTGTATTTGAGTAACTGAAGAAAATTTATTAAAAAAAAAAAAAAACAACAAAAATAACCCTACAGGATCCCTTTTTATTTCCCACATTCAAACTAAAGTTGCCTTTTTCTCAATTTGTTCACCTACCCAATCCACTCTAGATGACTTTTAGGTAATTTTAGAAATATAGTCAGCAAGTAAAAGGCTGTATTTTTGATGCATAAATTTTGGCATATTCTAAAAGATTTTTCAGTACCACATTAAGTTACTGAAGTCATTGAAGTTGTGAAATTCTTCTCTTTGTGAAAGTTCTAAATTTTACTTGTTTTCTTCAAATTGATTACCAAATTGGGTGCTGGATGCATATATAACCACAGTCAAGTCTGAAATGCATGCATGTTACAGTAATGTATACTACCAGGTTATTAAATAGCTGATGTACACAGACACATAAAGAGATAAAAGACAAAAATCCAAGTTATTATTTTGGAATTCGTTTCTTTTTCTTCAGAGAAAAGGTTTCAATACAGTTATATTTGACATTATGTAATTAAAAAATATAATAAGACAGAGAAAAGACATAGCTGATTCTGACCAGGAAAAGTTAGCAGGAAAAAAAAAAAAAAAGCAGAGGAAGTGTATTCCCAGGGAAGAGCTGGAGGGACGTTTGCAGTGGAAATTCTACAGAAATTCTACGTGGAGCACCATGGAGCACAGCGAGGAAAGTGGAGATGTACAGTGACGCGTGCAAGTGGGGACATCACACATGAATCCCACGGCCAGGGGCTGGTGGAGACAGCAGGTTCTGAGAGCAGGTTGCCACCAGACTGCAGCAGTGTATGCTACTGGTGGTGTTGTGGAAGATCCTTGTGGACTACACTGACTTTGAGTCTGGGCTGGAGCTCTAGTTGGGGGCAGAGTACCCACCTAATCCAGCAAAGAAAAAGCACATTTCTTTTACCCCATCCCTGCATAAGGGCACCTGGCAACTGTGGGGAGAAGGTGCCATCTTGACATCGGTAGAGGCTGCAGTGCCTCTCCTGCACAAGCAGGGGATGTTACTAGAGGGAAGAATCTGCATTTTCTGCTGGCTTTGAGTCTGGCTGGGGTTAGTTGATAGGGGACTGGGCACCTACTTAGGAGGTGTGCCCATCCTCTCAATCTATCACAGGCTCTGGGGCTCAAACTGGCTAAGTGGAACACCCATAGGCATCTGGTTCTGGAAACAACAGCTCTGTGGACAGAAAGGCTCATGGGATGGTGAGGGGATCCTATGTACCCTGTGATAGTGGTAGCTTTGCGTGCTGTGACTATGGGAATCCTGTTGACTACCCAATGGAATGCAGGGTGTAGCTGGGTCTCTGGGCAATCACTGTGTCTGGTGTCAGAGGATCAGAGCTCCCTGCTGTGAGGAGTGGGTCATTGCAGAGGGTTCAATGCTCATACTGAAGACTGTACAGATCCTTTGTGTGGGTCATGTGCCAGCATGGATGAGGGTTATATCCACTATAGGCTAACCCTGGGCATGGATCACCTTGAAAGGGAGGAGGTGAGGTGGTGATTACACCAACAGGTGTGATCATACTCTCTTCCCTGCTGTCAATAAATGAGATCTACCACACCTAACTTGGAGTCTCCCCCGACACTTGAACACTGACCAGAGCTCTCTGGCCACACTCACTACACACACACCTCTGGGTATTCTATGAAGGAAAAGACACTCCACTAAATCACAGAGGTGTAATTCAAAGATAAAACCCATCAGTGGAGAAAACCAAAAAAATGTTTCCATGAAAGTCTAAAAATCAAAAATACAATAAACAAGAACAAGGAATACAACATGACTTCCCCCAAAGGAAACCAAAAACATTTCAATATTAGAATATGAAGGTGAAGAAATTGATGAAATGCCTGAAAAAGGATTCAAACGAATGATCGTAGGATTATTCAGAAGCAAATTCACAAGTTAAATCCATACGTGACTTAGGTGATAAATATTCACAGATATTTTGAAGAAAAATCAAACTAAAATATTAGATATGAAGAATTCAATATGTCAAATGAAAAATAGAGTGAAAAGCCTTAACAGACTTGGTGAAGCAGAAGAATGAATATCTCAGCTAAAAGACAAGTTTTTGGAAATATTTTAGGCCTCCTCCCCCCAAAAAATGAAATTAAAAATTATAGATTTATGGGGTGCTATCAAAAGACCCAACATAAGGGTCTTAGTTCCTGATGGTGTGGAAAGAATGAACTAGAAGGCCTATTCAGTGAAATAATAATAGAAAACTTCCCAAATTCAGAGAAAGGGACATCCAAGTACAGGAAGCACACAGAACCCCAAATAGACATGACCAGAAAATATCTTTACCACAGCATATTGTAGTCAAACTTTCAAGAGTACAACATGGGGCCGGCTGTGGTGTAGCAGGTAAAGCTGCTGCCTGCAGTGCTGGCATCCCATATGGGCGCTGGTTCAAGTCCCACTCCTGATCCAGCTCTCTGCTATGGCCTGAGAAAGCAGCAGAAGGCCCAAGTCCCTGGGCCCCTGCACCCATGTGAGAAACCCGGAAGAAGCTCCTGGCTCCTGGCTCCAGATCAACACAGCTCCAGCTGTTGCAGCCATTTGGGGAGTAAACCAGCAAATGGAAGACAACTTTCTCTCTGCCTCTAATTCTGCCTTTCAAATAAGTAATAAATATCTAAAATAAATAAATAAATGTGTTACTGTAGCCAAGTCGTTCCCTCTTTAAAAAAAAAAAAAAAGTACAACAAAGAAAAGATTCTAAGTATGTAGGAGAGAAATGCCATATTACCTTCAAAGCATCTCCAGTTACACTCACAGCTCACTTATCAGAAACTCTTCAAGCTAGGAGAGAATGGAGAGTATAAGTCTTGAGAGAAAAAAAAACACTCAATCCAAAATACTGTACACTGTAAAGCTCTCATTTATAAATGAAGGCAAAATAAAGACTTTGTCTCTACTAGTCCAGCCTTACAAATGGTGCTAAAGGATGTGCTACACACAGAAACGATAGTAATCATAAAGAATGTGAAGGCAGAAAAATTAGTAAAACTGCAAAGTAAATCCAAAGCAAACAATTGGAATATTTATGGAAAAATGGCTGGGCCAAGTCATTACTTATCAATAGTAGTCTTGAATGTGAATGGTCTAAATTCTCCAAGTAAAAGATGGACTTGCTGAATGGGTTAAGAAACAAGACCTATCTATGTGCTGCTTACAAGAAACACCTCACCGACAAAGATATTCTCAGACTGAAAGTGAAGGCATGGAAAAAGATACTCTATGCTAATGGAAAGCACAAACAAGCAGGTGTAGCCTCCTAATATCAGACAAGATAGACTTAACAAATTCATTATGTAATGATTAGAGGATCAATTCAATACGAGAATGTGACTGATAAGTGTATATGCACCCAATACCAGGGTGCCTGCCTGTTTAAAATAAATGTTAATGGATATAAAGGGAAATACAATACAGTAGTAATGGGGGACTTCAGCTCCACAGTTTCATCAATGAACAGATCAACTAGAC